CCCGAAGAGCTGGTCGGTCGAGCTGACGTTGACAAGCACATCCAGGATCCGCCGCACAAGAGAGGACTGGACGACGGCGGCAAGAAGACAGGTGTGGACAAACGCTTGCTCACATCCAGTCCCTGATCATGGCATTCAGCGCAGCACTTATGATAATGGTGAAATATATATAGGCCAATTGTTTGATTGCTGTTTACAAATGAGTCAATTACCTGTTCAGGGCAAAAAAAACAGTGGCTACAGAAACACTGCAGTGTTTCTAACATAATGACCATTATAACAGGCCCTGCACTGGTACATTCATGTTTTTTATACTGAGCGGAAAGTGCTGCCATCACTCTTAATTGTTGTGTGCTGCAGTCTGGGAAGTTTTATATCTTTTGTCTGTTATTGACAGGTGTCAAGGAGGAGCAAGAACTAACCATTGCTACTGACGAAAATCAGGATGAGGAACCAACCAAAGCCAAAAAGAGAAAGTAAGTCATGCATGTCTGACTTTAACTTGTCATGCCTTTTCTGTCCATCTTCAGCTGTATCTGAATAAGCTAATATAATAACCTTTTAAAAAGGTAAAGACTTGAACCGTCTCTTGTATTTTCCTTCCTTTCTACTCCGCCTCTATTGACTGTGGCTGTTTCACCCACAGGAAGGAGGAAGTGAAGGAGGCGGACTCTGAGAAGGAAGTAGCGATGGAGGTAGAGCTCAGAGCTGCCAGGGAACGAGCTGTTGTGCCACTTGAGGCCCGGATGACCCAGTTCAGAGAAATGCTACTGGAGAGAGGGGTAATGCAAAGTTGTGAAAATGTATAAAAGAATGTTTTGGGGGGGGGAAAGTGAACATATATAACTTGATATTGGGCTGTCTTTCTAATAAGGACATTGTCTCTCTCACAGGTGTCTGCATTCTCAACCTGGGACAAAGAGCTTCATAAGATTGTGTTTGACCCACGCTACCTTCTGCTCAACCCAAAAGAGAGGAAACAGGTTCAGCTTCTCTTTCTCATGTTTTCTTCTCTCCTCTCGTTGTCACCTGTTTTCAATCCCGCGTCATGTACTGGCCATTCATTTGACTCCTTCAGTCAGTTTGGTGATTCGGTTTTCTTCAGGTGTTTGATCAGTATGTGAAGACACGAGCGGAAGAGGAGAGGAAGGAGAAGAAGAACAAGCTGATGCAGGCCAAAGATGAGTTCAGGAGGATGATGGAGGAGGCAAAGTTCACACCAAGGTAAAGAAACGGCTGTTTGTTTTCAAAAGACATGCAATTTATCAGTAACTTGATTCTTATATTAATGTTCTTCAGGTGTAGTTTTTTTTCACAGCATGATTGAAGCGGATTTATGATTTTAATAGAAGTTATTTTACAACCATGTTCTCCATTTGGGAGACACTCACAATATAATTACCCAATATAATTAGTATTATAATACTGGTATTTCTATTATCTAATTTTGGTAAAAGTTCATTTCAAGTTTAAACTGCTTTTTTTTTTTCTTTTTTAAAATCCAAAACCCCTTACAGAACAACGTTTAGTGAATTTGCAGTGAAGCACGGTCGAGACCCGCGATTTAAGACCATAGAGAAGATGAAGGACCGGGAGGCCATCTTCGTGGAATTCATCACCGCTATACGGAAGAGAGAGAAGGAGGACTCCAAGTCCAGAGGAGAGAAGGTATCACCGGCTCACGCTCAAATGTCAATGTACGCTATTTCTGACTGGTGTTATTTAGAGGAAAGAGGTCAGTTGATTATTAAATGACGGCCTGCAGCCTGTCGCCATCTGCAGGTCCTGCTCTCCTGCTGACCATTTGTATGTGTTTGTGCCCAGGTGAAGTTAGACTTCCATGATCTCCTTAGTGATCAGCACATAGAAGTGGGCCAGCGGTGGAGCAAAGTGAAAGAGAGGCTGGAGACTGACCCGCGATACAAGGCTGTGGAGAGCTCCGCACTCCGAGAAGAGCTTTTCAAACAGTACATGGAAAAACAAGCCAAGGTATGAGCAGCTCTCTTTCTGGTGAGTGATGGCTTCGATATGTATGTGCTAGTGACATCTGATCTGCTTCACCACAGCTGTGAAACACCGCTTTTTACTTCTGTGAGTGTCGCTATAAGTCAAACTAATTTCTTTTATATGAATCTTTGGATTGCTTCTGTTTGGGTAACAAAGCAGTTTTAAAAATGCGCTGAGTTAATTGGAAATTATGTTTTGAAAAAGTGGAGGTTGTATTATATTTCAGAACTCTACAACAACATATAATTAAAAGACGGGCTGTATTTGAAAATCCGGTGTCGGATATATTACACGACTGCGTCACCTTTGAAAAGCATGAATCAATATCTCTAATATCATGTGATTGTGATGAAGAGTCGACGACTGTTTTTGTACACAAGCCTCGTTGTTGACGTGAACTAACGAATATGATGCAGACCTCACATGTTTTCCTCCCCCACAGAGCGTGGACCTCGACAAGGAGCGAGAGCTTGAGCGGCAGGCCCGCATTGAGGCCAGTCTCAGAGAACGGGAGCGCGAGGTGCAGAAGGCTCGATCCGAACAGACCAAAGAGATCGACCGAGAGAGAGAGCAGCACAAAAGGGAGGAGGCCATCCAGCATTTCAAAGCTCTCATGTCAGACATGGTGAGACACTGCAGAATATTTATTTCCTCATAATCCGCTAAAATTAGCGGATTATTTTAGATTATTTTAGTCTTTCCTCAACAGCTAATCTTTTTGCATCACTCGTCCCTTTTGCAAAATTTGACCAGACGAATAGATTAGATGGAGGGATAATCGTTTTTGAACAGTTGAGAAATACATGTGAGCCAAAGACTGACTAGGGGTTTCTTTTTTTCCCTTATTCCTTAGGTACGGTCTCCAGATGCAACATGGTCAGACACGCGGCGTAACCTGCGGAAAGACCATCGCTGGGAGTCCGCGTCACTGTTAGAGCGAGAGGAGAAGGAGAAGCTGTTTAACGAACACGTAGAAGCACTGGCCAAGAAGAAGAAAGAACATTTCAGGCAGTTGCTTGATGAGACCAGCATGGTGCGAAGTAAAAAGGTGCTACAAACACATTTTAAGCTTTATTAAGATTTGTATCCATTATCTTTTTTCTTGTGTGAACTCATGATTGACTTGATTCAACTTAATCCCTGATTTTTATTTTTTTAATAATCTTATTAATGGATTTCATGTTTGTTGCAGATCACCCTGACAACCACCTGGAAGGAGGTGAAAAAGGTTATCAAGGAAGACCCTCGCTGTATTAAGTTCTCCTCCAGTGATCGAGTAAGACAAGTTTACAGTTTAGGGACTCTGGTGGCAGGTTAAGGAGCAGTGTAGTTGCATTGATCATTGATAGAATTCAGGAAGTAGAAGGATGAATGATTGAAAAATAAGTTAAGCACTATTCCTGTTTAGAGAAGACAAAATAAAAAATAATTAGAAACACCAGAAATAATGAATAGGAGCCAATTAGACATCTGATTTCATTAAATCCAAACACCTTTTCACGAATTGATATCAGGGTTTTTTTTTGCTGTCTTAAATGCATCATGGTGTGTGTTAAATGTGTTTTGTGTCTTGATGTGTTAATCTGTCTGTCTGTAGAAGAGACAACGGGAGTTTGAAGATTACATCAAAGACAAGTACATCACAGCCAAAGCTGATTTCAGAACCCTGCTGAAGGAGACAAAGTTCATCACATACAGGTGTGTACACTCACTTGACATATTAAGACAATATTGGTTTTAAAAATATTGACACAAAAAAGTGTTACAAATCTTTTGTTTCACATACAATATACACTGCTGATAAGTCTAGTCTAGGCAAGCTGCACCAATCAGTGACTTTGTTTTCAGCGGAAAGTAATACGATTTTAAGATGCGACTTAGTATTATCTATCTTAGTATTACCATGTTTATTCTTAGTGCCCTGCGCCTGTCGTCTCTTTACGGCAGGTCGAGAAAGCTGATCCAGGAGTCTGAGCAGCATCTGAAGGATGTGGAGAAGATCCTTCAGAATGACAAGCGGTACCTCGTTCTGGAGTGCGTTCCAGAGGAGCGCAGGAAGCTCATCATGTTCTACATTGAAGATCTAGATCGCCGTGGCCCTCCTCCTCCCCCCACTGCCTCTGAGCCCACCCGGCGCTCTACCAAGTGACCAATGCATCATCTTCTCGGCCCAATTCTTTCTTGCCCTCCATTTGGCCAGAGCATGATCTACCCCAAACTCACCCTGAGCCCTGCCTTTCAGGCCCATGGCTGGCCGAGCAGTGTTATTGCTGGGGCTCATGTTGCTTAGAGATGTACCATAGAGATGAACGGTTATGGTCTCTGTGTTATGTTAACTCTTAGCCCTGAAATAGCCCTTCATTTAAGGCAACATTAGGGAACAGAGGTTACCTCATCTTGGTGACCCTGGAGCCTTCACCTCTGACAGCCACATTAGAGGTAGGGGGATAAGGCTGCACCCAGAGGATCAATTGAGGTGTAAGATAGCAGATGTAAATGAAGATGTGCGTGTGTGAGAAAGTGTATGTTTGTGAATGGTGTGTGTGTGTGTGTGTGTGTGTGTGTATATGCATGTGTCTGAGGCGTCCTTAAGCCTTACTGCTCCACTTTGCCAGTCATTGTTTCAGCGGCTCAGTGTGAATGTTAGTTTCTGCCCAGTGGTTTACTCTGATGTTGCAGCAATTTCTCTGAAATAAAGGCAACTTCCACTGTTTTTCAATACGTCGTTGTGTGGATTTTCTTTTTGAACAACTTATAGTATACTTACTCGAATGTGAATTTGACTGAAAGCGCTGGTATTTAATGCAGAAACCACCCTAACCTAAATCACTGAGGATTACGTGACGTCTCTGGGGAGAATGAATCGTGTTGTGACCGACGGACTGTCCCACGATAACCCATCTCCTGGGCGGATCACGTTCCGGAAGTGAATTCCTCATTCGTTCGCGCCGGTGATGTGTCACGTGATGTTTCCGGATGTGGACGGAACGAACGTTGATTGGAAAATGTATTTGCATCGTCATTAACGCCATCTTTAGCGCAGTATCGGGAACCCTTTTAAAACGCAGTCTTACTCACTGCGACAAAGTTAACTGCTTTTCGTTGTCCTGAACATAACGTTACCCTCGGTGTAAAGAAAAGGGGAATACAAAAAGAACCGCTAACGTTAAGTGCCAGCTTAATGCTAAGCTAGCATTATCCCAATGTACTAACGGTCGCTGCACCTGCTCGCATCCTCTCACCCCGGTTGTCTCCGCCCTGGTGCCGGTATGGGCGACGCTCTTCTGCCGCTGCTTGTCGTGGTACTGTCGGCGTGGTCGGGTGTCGGAGACCTCGCGGGATCCGCTCATGTCGACGGAGCTCCGCCTTCCAAAATAGGCAAGACAATCACTTTGTAGAATTGGCATTAAACGTTAATCATTCATGAAATCTGTTAACGTTGTGTAATTTAGCCGTCGCTTAGAAATATTGGCGGATATTTTGTATTCAGAGTTCTGTTTTCCTTATTACACATTGAAGGGATCTAGAGATTACTTTCTTTATTCAAATATACTATGCGTGTGTTAAAGATAAAATCAAGTGGTAGTGGCTTTTAAAGGCAGTCAGCTATAAATGTGTGGGCCCTTGACTCCACGACCTCTTCCTCTCATCTTTACATAAAAACAATTTTTCTTACTTGTCACCATCTGCGTCCAACTCTGTGCCGTTCTCCAACGCATACTTAAATAGATGTGTTACATAACCGACTTTCTCATTGTGTGAGGGAAATCTTCATTTGTCCCATCAGTATCGATGCAAATAGATTTGTGATCAAATGTCGACGATACCTTTTGCTGCAATTTAATGTGAATGTGGTAGAACAAGCATCATAAATTAGGACTAACAATTATGTTTTATTATCTTGTTCAACCAAGAGTCTAAAACTCAAATATATTATACGTTCAGTGGCGTACAATAGAAGTCCAGTTTGTATTTAATATTAGCATTCAGACAAACAATCCAAAATAGTAGTTTTAGTATTGATCAGGACAGAACAGGTTAAATAAGTCCAAATGCACCATGGATAAGTAAAGTTAGGATGAAGGAGGGGACTCTACCGATGTTATTTTGATTCATATTGAGGAAACTGTTTAAGGTAAACCCTGAAATTAGAAATGAGTTAAGAGTGGGAAATAGATACTGTGCCCACTTTCTACTACAGCAACACCCCATCAAAAGACCTGTCCAGCAATAGATTTAATGACTTAAAATGATAAACAAGTGTTGCCTTTTACTCGCTCCATTGTAATAAGTTAATGTTTTATAGTTTCTATCCTATATGTAATCTTGCCTTTAAACTCCCTGTTTGACATACAATAATACAGACAAGTCCGTTTGATTAAGTGTCATTAAATTTCCACCAAATTTCCCTTCAAAGACATATTGTGTTGTCACAATTCTTCTCTGATCCTCTGTGCTGCAGCGGTGGTCGGGGCGGGGATAGGAGGCAGCGCCACAGCCCATTTCCTGAGGCAGCACTTCGGGCCTGAGGTCCAGGTAGACGTGTTTGAGAAGGCGGAGGTCGGAGGCCGTCTTGCCACTGTAACCGTTAACCACAACGACTATGAGTCTGGCGGTTCCATCATTCACTCCCTCAACCTCCACATGCAGGAGTTTGTCAAACAGCTAGGTTTGTGTACATACTCACACGGCACCTTAGGCTTAAAAGACAATAGTAGACAACAAGTATGAATATGTGAATACTTTTGTTAATTTAGTCACACCTTCAGAATGAGTAACCGATGGAACCTGCAAACATCGGTAGGGGGTTGCATGCAAAGATTCAGAGAAAGATGAAATTTATGTCAAATCACAGTTTGTAAAATATATAGAGGAAAAGGTTTCATTAAAAGAAAAGAAAAGGAAAAAAAATCTTTGTCATCTTGTGTCCGCCACTCAAGGTTTAAAGTACCGACGCAGCGTGGCCGGTAAGACAGCGGTGTTTAACGGCGTGGAGGTGATTCTGGAGGAGACGGACTGGTACCTGCTGGACCTGTTCAGGCTGTGGTGGCGCTACGGCATCAGCTTTATACGCCTTCAGATGTGGGTGGAGGAAATTATGGAGAAATTCATGAGGTGAGCTAGAATGATTAGTGCCCTGTTTGCTTAGGATGTAGCTGTGGGCCCGTCAAACCTGGGTCTTTGCTCCTGTGTCAAAGCGGCCTTCTTTTGTTGTAGAAGGGGACCTACTTTGGTTTCTACCTCGACCACTTCAAAAAGATATGTAATTGATCCGCCGGGTCTGATAACATATTGTTTCCCATCGGTTTCTGGTAGTCCAAGATAACAAGTTACCTTTTTTTTAAATGAAGCCAAATGAATTTCGTCCAGTGTTCCAGCAAAGTCTATCAGGTTTAAACCTTTTTCTTCGCAGTTGATTTCACTCATTTGAATTCTAGACCAAAACAATTACTATTTAGGTGTAGAATAAATCCAAGAGAGGGAGCGGGGGCACTGTCGCCTCACAGCAAGAAGGTCCTACGGACCAATCTAAATTGTCCGTAGGTGTGTGAATGTGAGTGTGAATGGTTGTATGTCTCTGTGTAGCCCTGCGATTGGCTGGCGACCAATCCAAGGTGAACCCCGTCTCTCGCCCGAAGTTGGCTGGGATGGACCCTGTGTGCGACCCTGTGTGCAGGATAAGCGGTTTGACGGATGGATGGATGGATGGATGGATGGATGGATAAATCCAAGACACGGCCCCACAGTGTCACAGTAAATGGTTGAAACAAATACTAGACTATTTATTATATTCCACGACTGGAGCTGTGTGCGATTTTCTAAACATGACGTTTATATAACTACGACAACAGAACTGTCCTCCATCGGCCTGTTGTGTTTTCAGGGAATCAAGGGGTGCAACAACATCACAAATAAAGGGACAAATGGAATGTCTTTCTATACAACAGCTATGAGCCTGTATATTCCTCTGTCTGTTTCTCTCTCTCTTTTTATTTTGCACCTATTGCTGAGATAAGATGATAGTTCTTTAGAAAGGAATGCGATCATCTGCCCACTGATTTAATAATTCAATAGTATAATTGATTATTAATTTGTTGCGTGTACAATACAGGATCTACAAATACCAGGCCCACGGTTATGCCTTCAGCTCGGTGGAGGAACTATTGGACTCTCTTGGGGGGAGTGGCTTCATCAACATGACCCGGAGGCCACTCTCTGATTCGTTGCTGGAGCTGGGCGTGTCACAGCGCTTCATCGATGAGGTCATCGAGCCAGTCATGAGGGTGAACTACGGACAGAACGTCAGCATCCCAGCCTTTGTAGGTCAGATGAGTGTGAAGAAATAAACAGCGGAGGGAGCTACGGGGGGTTGAATAATAAAAAAGAATTTGGGGAAGATAAAGCCCGTCCTGCTGAAATTCGGGCCAATGTAGGTCAGGAGAGAGGAAAGAAAAGAGATGAAGGAGACGCAGAAGGGAGGAGTGGGAGTCAGAAATAGAAGAGAGGGGAAAGGTGAGAGGAAGGGTGGCCTATGGGAGCAAGAGAGCAGGGAAATGTGTGGGCAGCTGATAATTGGTTTACAGCCCATGGCACTGTTGTGAGAGAGAGAGTGTGTGTGTGTGTGTGTGTGTGTGTGTGTGTGTGTGTGTGTGTGTGTGTGTGTGTGTGTGTGTGTGCATTACAGGTGCTGTGTCGTTAGCTGGTGCCCAGAACAACCTGTGGGCGGTGGAGGGAGGCAACAAGCTTGTCTGTTCTGGTCTGCTGAAAATGGCGAACGCTAACCTGCTGCAAGCACAAGTCGTCTCCATCTCGCCGGTGTACTCAGGTACAGTCCACAGGAGCCAAATACTAGCAACTTGTAACTCGGAACAAACACACAGTCGATGCTTGGTTTCTCCCAAAAAATAATTAAACCGTGTCACTGGCTTGGCCGACACGAGCGAGAATGAATGAATATATATATATATATATATATATATATATATATATATATATATAATAATATCAAATCTAACTCATTTTAGGGGAGTAATGTAGATACATTTGCATCTGAATCGTGTTGTGTTGACATTGTGTGTGTTTTCCTGACAGGTGAGATGCCCCAGTACCAGCTGACCTTCACCACAGCAGCGGAGACGGGATCGGATCTGTATGACATCGTAGTGTTGGCGACGCCTCTCCAGGCCAGTGTAAGGTCCGGGATCCGGTTCCACGGTTTCACTCCTCCCTTTGAGGAGCTCCCCGGCAACTATCACAGCACTGTGGCAACCATTGTCCATGGTTACCTGAACACCTCTTTCTTTGGCTTCGCGGACCCTCGCCTTTTTCCCTTTGCCAGCGTGTTGACAACCGAGACACTCGATCTGTTCTTCAACAGCGTAGCAAGTGTTTGTCCGGTCAACATCTCGACTGGCTTCCGGCGGAAGCAGCCGCAAGAGGCTGGAGTCTATAAAGTGTTCTCGCCGCAGCCTCTGGACAAGGCTCAGCTCAAAACGCTGTTCAGGTCAGTCACCAAATCCCAGCCACTGTAAACATGGTGTTATCAAGGGCCACAACTAACTATTATTTTCATTAACACATATTTTGGCCATGAACCTCTCAACGAGTCACTCTGTCGATGAAATAGGAAAAAATGCCATGATAATTTCTTATAGTTAGATAGTTTCAATCAATTGTTCTTGTTTCGATAGTTCATCAGTCCAAACCCCAAAGATATTAAACTTATAATCTTATCTTGACACCCTGAATGACTCGGACAAGATTATCCAAATTGTTGTAGCTGCATTTTGCCAGTCCACCTAAACATTTACCCCAAATACCAGGGGCCTCATTTATAAAACCTTGCGTAGGATTTGCGCCAGAAGTGGCGTACGGATGAAACATAGGACGTGCGTACGCACAGAAATATTCAGACTTATAAAACCGTGCGCATGCACGTCCTACGCAGTTTTCTCTTAATAAATCGCAATCACTCCTAATGCAGCGCAGTTTTTGCGGCTTCATGCCACGCCCATAGTTGCCCATATATAGTCTGTGGAACGCCCACAAATGAATATTCATCAATTGCGAAATCATGACAAACACTGAGGAAAACGAAGAAGCCTCACAACCTCGGACCGTGGCCGAAAAAAAGAAAAAATGGTCTGACGTCAAAGTGGATGCAGAAAAGCGTTTAGCGCGCCATCACCAAAGTGTGTCTGCCACAGCTCCGCTGTCCCCTCTTGATGAGAGACTGGCGGCAATGATTGGGGATCGGGGACAGGGTCCGGGCCAACATCGGCGTCAGGGGGGTCGAGGCACGTTTCGAAGCTGTGCCACATTATGTAGCACAGCACACGCCAGCACGATTTTGCACACCTTTTCAGGAGTAAACAATAACCTCCCTCCAGTGCAGTCGAGGCAGCGCCATCTGCCCTTAAACAGGCCGATGGTGCGCTGCACTACAGCGCGAATCCTTCCATGTGCCACATCTTATAGAGCGCAAGATCAGCCTTTTCGCGTCATTACGCATTGTGACGGCATCATGGCATTTTATTACCGTCCATTTGATTGCATATGACAAGCAACAGCTGTGTTTTGAGGATGAATTGCATAACATATTTCACTTTTCTTTTTGAAGATTTGTTTGTTTTACGCTGCAGATCGATCAATCGGGTGTTCGTGTTATTTATGAGAGGCAGTATTGGCGTTTCTTTTACACAAGTCTAGTTTTACACACTTTCACACACGTTTGCGTGTCTCTTGCATTTGCCGACGGTTCTCATTTCACCCGTTTTTGTGCGTACGCATGGGTCCGAGCTTGCGTGAAGGACCGCACATTTTTCTGTCAAGTTTGCTTTTTATAAATACCAATTATTGCGTAGAGAGCGGCGTACGCCTTCTTTTGTGCGTATGCAACGTTTATAAATGAGGCCCCGGGTCTGTTTCTGGAGACAGCAGTGCCTTCAACTAAATTATGCTAATATGATTACATTCACCAGTTAAACTAATGTTATTCAGCCTCAGCTGATGGGAATAACATTAGTTATGTTAGTATTTGGTCATTAACAAAGTAAACATTTGGATCTGAAAGGTTATGGGCTCAAAATTCATTCTCCGGGAACAATGAATGTGTGTATTCAATTTAGTGTCAATCTAAATATATCAAGATATTTTACAACCTCATGGTCGCACTAAGGAGATCACCAAGGTCGGTCCTCTGGGGATCATGAGTTTTTGCACAACGCGTCACTGCAACCTATCAAATAGGTGTGGAGGTTCAGCCTGGACGTGGCGGACCGAATAACACATGACATTGCCATCCACGGAGCACGGGCTAGTGACGCTGCAAAGCTGACGTTTACTCATTTGGCAACAGCCATTTAGAATAGTTCTTTCCTCCTTTCTAACCGTGCCTCTCCATCTCAGGTCGTACTACTCCGTGCAGGTGACCGAGTGGCAGGCCTACCCGTGTTACGGCAGCAGCCAGGGACTGTCGCCCGTGGAGCTCCACCCAAATCTCTACTACCTCAATGGCATAGAGTTAGCCGGCAGCGCGATGGAGATGAGCTCGGTGGCGGCCAAGAACATCGCCCTGTTGGCTTACCACCGCTGGAACAGACAGACAGACATGGTGGACCAGAAAGATCTGATGCACAGGATCAAGACTGAACTATGACCTGGTCGAGTGAAAACCTCACAGCATCACTGAGGTGATGTCCGTATTAAGGAGCAAAGTTTTACTGTTTGACTGAAGTCACTAGTGGCTAAGTATCGTGTGAGTCATCCAAGCAATAGATCCCAGGTTTAATAAAACGAATGAGAAATTTGCTTAACCCGCCTTCACCTAAAGAAACTGAAACATAGAGAAAAACATGTAGGTATCAAAGTCGATTTGAGACTGAAACTGATTTCATTACACCACTAAAGAAAACTGTGGTGCTGCGCTACTTTCAAAGAACCGTTTGATCTCACTGATGGCTTCATTTCCTACGCCTGAGACATTGCAGGTACATGACATTTTCAGTACTGTTTGGGGAATAATTGCTAATGCTAGTTAGAGGTTTCATCCAAAGATACACCTGCAGGAAGCTTTCCGAGGAAACCAAACAACTGTGGAAAACACGAGCTAATATCTATTAGTGAAGTGAATGAACTCACCGTCTTTAATAAGTTTCCGTTGTTGTGAATGACTACCAGTTTGGCTCTGTGTAAATAGAAAACGCCCTGAAGATTGAGAGCTGAGACTCTTCTAAATGGCTGCTTTTGTCTACAGTGGAACAGCGATTAGATATCTGTGGTTTGGACATATAAACCAGCCCTTTGTTATATAATCCAAAACAACTGGTCCTTGTTGCCACTGTCTATACATTTCAATTTCTATTAATTGATTTCTGTAGGATTTGTGTAAACTAATAAAATCATTATTCAGTGACTCATAGCAGTGGCCCACTGGCTCCAGTTCCCCCCTTTCATCAGACTATTTCGGCTTTATTGCCGTTTCCTGCTGCTTTTGTTGCATAATCCAGTGGAAAGAATTTCCTTTCGGGGAACAGAGCCAACAAGCTTCCACACTGGACCAAATGAAAGCGGAGCACAGATCCGTGGCGCTGTTGGTGATAACGATGACCCTTTTCTCTCAGGCCATGAAGCTTAATTGAGATGCTACATTTAACAGGTGCTGTAAACTTAAAAAGCACATATGAAGAAAGGGTTGGACAGTCGCATTCAGAGATGGCAAGTGCCTAAGAAGACGGCGTGATATGAAAACCCTGATTGTTGATTACCTTAATATGACTGAGAAATGCCCTTTTCTGCTCATTTAGAATTAAAAAACAGTGGATGTGGACTGAAGTGGATTTCTGGACTCGAAGAACTGAATGAAACCTTTGTCACTGAAATCCATGTGACTGCAAAGGGCTTTAGTCAACAGATAATGTGATTGTGTCATGTGATGAGAAAACACCAAAACCCTTTTAATTTGATGAAATTGTCCATTAGCAATGAAGAGTTTTTTTTTCACTTCAGCAGCTTTTGTGCGAGTAAAATATTTGTTGCAATACTACCTTTCATGATATATAGTATTATTATTATAAAACCATCTTGTAGTTGACAAAACAATCTCATTCAAAGTTCACTTCGCAGGTTTTTGCAGAGCTTTCAACATCATCTCACACTCGAGCTTCACACACTAATGAAGGTGGAAAGTAAGTAGAGCGACCAAGAGTCAAGATTATTATGATTATTATGTCAAACAGATCTGTATGACTGTTCACATCTAATCACTGCTGCTTTACAAGTGTAACTTCCTGCTAAAGACAGCATGTATCCACATATTTCATTGCTCGATAAACCAAATATTGCAACTGTTAATAATGAAGTGCTCTACTTTGACTGTTGATAAAATGAAAGTATTAGATTGCTATGGATGATTGTTTTTCAAAATGTATTGTGGGTATTCAGCTTTTATTCACAAAGATTTCTTTGAGTAACTCAGAACTAAAAAAAACTTTCTTTAATTTCCTCCTGGAATGGTAATAAGGAAGAAAGTCACTAACAGGATGTCTGACGTTGGTTACATATTAGGTCCAGGCAGTTAAAAGGGCGACATGCTGCAGCTTTGTCAGCATGACGGAAGTTTTAATTCTGGGCTCAAATTATGAGATCCAAAGTCTGCCTAATTTACCTACCAAATGATTTATTTCAATCTTTGTTCCCTGAAATTAAAGTAGTGGCCCTATATTTCCACTCACTGTCCTCTAGTCAGATTTATTCCCTCGATGCAGAACGATTGATTTAAACGCTTTGAAATATTAGTTCCGTATTTTCCAGCCGACCTCTTGTGAATTATTTGACATTTAGCAGATCGAGGATGATTTAGTTTACTGTTGTCCTACAATGTAAGAATGTACAAACTTTCAAGGACGTGGAAGGCCAGGAAACAAAGCTTATAGTCTATTAAATATAGGGTTGTGTATAATTGGCCCTGTGTCTTTTTCTCCTTGGTGTCCCAGCAGCAAGAGCTCGACCACATTGCTGACAATAGAATGAAAAAGGAATATTTAAAAAACAAAATGCTTCAACAATCAAACATGTGACGCAATTTGGTGCAACATGGGTCACTTATGATCCTTGATATATATTTTCATATACGTAAATATAGTGGTGAGCCTATAGTAGAATGAAGCGATTTTGATATATTTGCAGACATTAAAACTAGTTGAGGTGATAGTCCTCTAAAAGAAATTCTGTTTTACATTTTTTTCAGTTGTATGAAAACAAACTAAAATACATTTTCTATATGAACAGTGACTGAAATCTCTATATTACTATATTTAATCTCTCGACTATTTCTGGATAAGCTGTCACCCCAGTTAAACTGCTGCCGTGGTAGATTTTGTACTTAAAAGTAATAGGACCATAATCTAATAATACTTTGTTAAAAGTTAAAGTCCTGCATTCAAAATCCTACTGAAGTAAAGTTACATATTATTATCCAAACATACTCAAAGTACTAAAAGTAGCGTAACCTTCATGATTTGTATTAATCTAAATCTGTACTTGACTGGCAAAAGTGATCAAATAAATGTAGCTCAGTAAAAGCTGCAATATTTTCCTCCAATGTATTGGAGAAGTAGCATAAAGTAGATTTAAAATCCTCAAGTAAAGTACAAGTACCTCAAAATTGTTCTTTACAATAGCTGCATAGCTCTAACAGGTTTGCATATAAACACCTTAAATAAACGGTGAAGAAAACTTAACATCAAATTATTTTACTTATAAAAACGGATATTTTTGTTTTCATTCCTATAATCTCTTTCTGTCACATTCTTGAATCTTGTGTTTCCAGGCAGCTTTGTAATTTGATAAATCCACAAAATGTTTTGACAGACTTCTACAAAGTTTGTGCTTAAAGAAAAGAATATTGCACATGTGAGATGCTCTCTGGGGCTGTTCGATCGACACAGTGGAAGCATGTGGAGCTGCTGTGTTCAACCTGCTGCCAGCTTCAGCTGACCTGCACAGATATATTGATCCCATGATGGGTTTAGGGGAAAGATGGAGGTCATAGGTCACAGGGAGAGTGCTCCTGCTATTTGGTTCCCTGGCCTGATACAAGGCAGCCTTCAGAGCCACTAATGTGTTAACGTTTGTGCATTTCTCCTGTAAGTAAAAAAGCAGTACGTCTTTCTCTAAAAGCTTGAATTCAGACCACAGCTGCTTTGAAAAAGATGAATGTATTTTATGCCGTTGTTTACTATTCCATTTTACAAAAGGTTGTCACACTTGGTAATGGCTGAAGTCATAGTTTCTATTTCTAGTGAAAGAGGGGCAGAGGCTTCCTGGAACAGCTGCTTGCAGATTGTAATTACTTTTGGGCTGAGCTCAATGGAGACCTTTGTTGAGTTATTGTGAATCTGGCAGTTGATTGCCTTTTAACTTCTTTTAACAGTTCTGCACAGGTGGTGTTGAATATTGAATTTCATGGGCAAATGTAATCAATAAATGTTAAATGTTCGCAAAATTGTTGGGGTTTTGGACAGTATAATTGTCTTTAGAAGAAAAAAGAATGTATGAAAGAAAAAAAGTTCCTGTTTATTTTCAGTTTCACTCACCAACATCTTGGTCGGGTCGTCAGCACCACCCCTCCATATAATTTTGATAGTCTGGCCCGCGTTTGATAGAAGTGGGCAGTATCTGGCCCGAACCTGAAATGAGTTTGACACCCCTGCCTTAAGGCGATCCTAACTAAACCTTTACAAAGCAGAACAACGGTTTTGTTAGAACTCTGTTAGTGATTTGCTCTTCTTTCCTGATGGTGCGAGAACTTTTTCTTTGCTTGTTTATCACTTGTATGTCAATGGAATAGGGCGAAACCACTTCACAACCACATCCATGTTTGCCTTTGCACATTAATCTATTTGCAAACAATATTTACTAAAAAATAACACACACAACGATGCATTAAAACCAATGCAATGACGACTTTACACCAGAATTGCATTCTTGGCATAAGGTAAAATCCCTAAGAAACTGCATTCATGACCCCATATGTGGAATTCACATATACAGAAAACCCTAACTGAATAACTCTATAAAAATGAAACTGGGTTTTTTTGCTGGGTTTTCGTCCTAATTATGCACTGTATATATTCGAAATATTTCTCTGCGTTCAAATATTCCATGAGAAGGCTGAAATGTTTTGGCCCAGCTTCGGGCTGCGCTCCTATTGGCCCAGCGGCCCACCACGTGGTCGGGCAGTCACGCGCTTTCCAGCAACCCGTCAGGAAGAAGAAAAACAAAACAAACCCGAGACTGTAACAGCGTGTGGACTCCATTGAAGAGAGGAACCTGTTATTTCCAACGGGGACAAACACAAGGTCCGAAACGAGGCGATACGTGTGCACGGGCGTCCTGAACGTGAGTGTGACCGCACATGTTTTGGGGGAAGTTTGCTCCGCGGCGGAGGGTTACCCGCGAGGCTAACAGTGCGTTGTTGCGGGCTTCGACTGGCACGGGTAAGGGGGCGTACTAGGCCACACCGTCACCTGACATGGGGACGGGGGCGGACGAGAACACGGCGTCGGTGAGCTGCGCGTCAAAGCGAAACGGGAGTCGTCTGCGCTGCACTGAATAGAAACACAATTGGGGGTAAAGTAACCCTAGTTACTCTCGCGTAATGTGGTTTAACGTTGGCTGCTGTTATCTCCTGATGGAAGAACTGCCGCGGCGCAGAAGTGTAACGTTAGCTAGCTAAAGCTTCGTGGTGATCTCAGTACATTTCCGTCACAGACAAACGTCAGTTAGCGCCAAATCTGCCCAGATGTGATTACATGACATGTCATTTAGCGCACGCTTTTATCTGAAGCGAGTTGCAATAAGCAACCGTAAGGATACAAACCCAGAAGAACAAGAAACAAAGTGCAATTTATAATCAATCAAATAATCCGATATTATGTTACATTGGTTTTGTCGAAATAGAATAGAATTGATCGATTGTTTTGTTTAGAAATGGGGTTACATGTCTTAAAGATGGTGGAAACCTGCACTTGTAATGTAATATTTACTTGTTAGTTAGTTTTAAACTGCCCAAAGCATGTTACACTTTTTTACAACATACCTACCGCTCTTTGACGTGTCATTGTTGTGGTAAAGAACATAAACTAACCGTATTTAACTGTGTTTGTGGTATAGAAGACTTTAATCTGCCCAGCGAAATGTCCGACACGGACTTTTTGAAGGCAGCCCGTGCTCTCTGGAGGTACACGCCCCCCAACACAAGACTCGCACACTGCTGCTGGAAAAGGGCTCGACACATCTAGAAATTTCCATGCGATGTGAGTTAAATAATGCGCCCGAATCAGACTTATGTTTACACCGGTGACATATCCGGGATAATGCTTTCTTTGCGATGACCGATTACGACGGATTTCCTCCTCAACAACCCGCCGTATAGTTGTTTCATCCGAATTTGTCAGACTTGCCTATGATTATTTTCTGCGTATGGTTGCTATTTTCAGCGCAAATACTAACAAATATCACGAATTGATGGGGAATCTTATGTTGTGGTCATGTTTCGTGGTTGGTCGTATATAACAATACATATATTTTTTCAATATATCTAGGCCACGGGCATTTAGGCCTCCAACTTGTTTATCTTCAGCCTCAACCGACCTTGATATGGGCTGTTTTGTATGTAGCAGTTTCCGGGCTTGACAATCACGGTGGCCATTCAGGCACGTCTGGAGGCGGGAAGTAATTTCCTCTCGACCAATAGAGATGAAGGATTTGGTGGGTGTTGGCCTTCTGGGTTAGATTGAGTTTTGTTTTGCTTTGCTGAGGATCTGTAACGAGTGCAGTGACTGGGGAGATTCAAGTGACATCTTTGGATTCATTGGTGTTGATAAAAGGTATTTTTTAATTCATACCCGCCTGTTAGATGGTAATAAGGAGGATGTTGAGATGTCGACGTTTGTGCAATCTGATTGTGCTTCATCCCAAATAGTGAATCTATCACAATAAGATATTGAGATATCATTTTGTATTCTTAACAGATTGTATTACAAAGTTTCATATTTTCATTTCTATTTTCTTTGTCATACCTTTTTTATGTAGGGTTTTTCTGGTTGTAATACATGTTTTTGGCAAGTGCTGCTAAAAGCTCAGTGTCCTGTCATCAGCTGTTGCAGTGTCTTAACTAGATCTATTACAATAGATTAAGGGAACGGTGCTGGTTAAATAAAAGCATTTGCAGGCTACATCATGATCATCTCATCCACAAACCACAGCCGGGCTTTTGAAATGATTGCAATGCAGCACCACAATTAACAATGGTGTTAGTTGCACCTTTTTTTTCAAAGTCAAAGTGTGTGAATGGAGAAAGGACTGTCCTCCCTTCGGTTACCACACGCCTTTTCCTATGGCCACGTGTGCTGGGCTCCCATCGCGACGGCTCTGTGACACCCCAATTTTGGGGCAACTGGCTTCCAGTAACAATTCTCTAGGTGTGTAGTTGTGTTGCAGAGCAGCTGTGGATTAGACCCGGACATCTGAAGAGAAACATGCATATCAGTTGGGACATGTACTGCTTCTGAAATGCTGAACACTCATTCATTCTCAACACTCAACTCAATCAACTCACCCGACACGTTTCGTTTAGCATGTGTATTTTTAAATGCTCACCAGAGTTGAACGCAACAATGTGGCTGCTTCAAGAGCTGTTCATGGTGAAGAACTCTGGTGCTACGGCTGTTCGGTGCTTTTTATCCGGGAAGGAATCAGAGGCCGACCGGTATCAGTAACTCACTGCAGATAAGACGCTGCTGATTGGCCTACTTGGATCCCGTCCAATATTGTGAGGGGGAGAATGTGAGCTGTTTGCATGATAGTGGTGACTGTGCTCGTTGCATCACTATCTTCCTCTTTTTGTTTAGAGGTCAACAAATAGAGGGGAGGAATCACTGGGAAATATGAATACTTATTGCTATTTTTATTTAATAAATGGGAACAAATGCACCGTAAACATATTATCATCCCATTTGCAGGAGGCTTTTTTTTTGCCACTTGATTAATTAATCAAGCCAATTATTCGGCATGGGGTGATTTATTTTTTTGCACCTGCAACCCCAGCTGATGTCGCACAGAAGACAGAGCTGTAGTGCGAGTCCATTTTGAGATCATTGTAATCGCCACATGTGTGAACCTGATTACAATCAATACAAGGAAACCATGCGTTTGTAGAGCGACTGGATCGTGACAACACATGTCAGACTTAGTTGTCAAGGGATGAAGGGATAAAGAACAAAAGCACATTCAATTCTAAATTGTGCGAGAAGACATTTGATACGACCAACGTGTGAAGCTGCAGCAGTTGACAATGATGCTACCATGGTGCGTTGTAACATCATCATCAAAAGTCAATCCAATTACGGAGAGTGAGGGTAGTGTTCTGTTACCTTAACCCCCCCTCCCCTTGTTTCTGACTAAACAAAAATTCTCTATCCCTGTACCCCTCCGAGATGGAAGCATGATGCTGCAAAAATGATGTCTTGTTGCGCAATTTCTGTATCCCTCAATTTATATCTCTCATTTTGGTTTCACTCTATAAAATCTTTTTTTTGGTTGTTTCTTTTTAACATTTTGCACTATAAAATAAAACAGGAAATCTTTTAAAGTAGTAGACAATCGCAAATGTTTAACCCTTACCTAAGCCCTACCGATATCTAATGCTGGCAAGTTTTATCACAGAACCAAGTGTGACCAAAGACAGGCATTCAGCTCCGGCTCGGTCATTAATAACCGCAGCCTGTGTGAGCTACTAAGCAGTGGGTTGGATCATGTTCGATTCTGCCACTGGAAGATATTCAGCGCACATTTGCCTGGAGAGGTGAGGAGCGTTGTGACTTGTTTGCTGCAGGTTTGGCACACAAAGCCTTTCCATTCGCTTCCAGAGCATCAGGAGCAAAGCCACTGCAGTTACCGTTGTGTTCAGGCCGCATGCTTCCTCATTCTAATTCTGCTACAAGTGACACCAGACGCAGGAGCTAATAATGACCACGATCACAATCTGTATTCAGGAGGCTGAGCTTCCAGAATAAACATTTGGTCATTAAAACTGTGTACATGGGAATCGACCTTTGTGTTTGAAGTGCATGTTGTTTGCAAATGTGTTACTACTCTCACCGTTGTACTCCCTGTGTTGTATTGATGCGTCTTTGTCACTTCCTGTCTCTTTGCAAAGTACTGCAAAGGGACAGCGCTGTGGGGTTGTGTTGCTCCCCTGGCCTCAGAGGAGCGGGATTGGTGTAGGATTGTGTGTCAGCTGTTCACTGCGGGGGTCATGTCTCCATGCAGATCTTCATTTATTTGCTATGCCAAAGCTGCAAAGAACCCGACGATGAGTCAGTAGGTGTTGCACGAAAGTGAGAGAACAAGCCGAGAACGAGGAGAGGGTGGAATCTGATTATTGAAAAGGAGGTTTACGGTTAAGCTTGATGAACACAAAGCAAATCAGATGCACTCAGAACGAATGTGTGTGGGGGCAGTTGGGTGCATTGAAACAAATAATGGGTGCAAGGTTCGAAATACTTTTACATTTTTTATTCTTCTAAGAAGCTTATTCTCTCAACAACTTGCAGCTGGGTAGTCGGAGAGCTGCGGTGCACTTTGCTAATAGACTCCCGGTTCAGTGTGTCGCTTGAAAGGAGGGCACAATGAACGAAGAGCATGCTGCAAGTCTTTTAAAGGCAGACAAATAAGTACAGATACTTTCAATAAAAAGTACCCAAAGCCTAAAGCCCAACACTTACAATCCCCAGGGCCATTTCGCTCAGTTGCAATACACACCCAACTTTTATAACTTTTTTTTTTAAACACACTTATTAGTTTTGTCATATAATTCTCATATTGTCTACTTTATGCTGATGATTTATACTGTAGTACAGTGTTTAGGGTTGCATGCCGTTCACATGGCCCTGTTCCTTGTATGTGTAACACACTTGGCAATAAACTGTTTCTGATGTTTTAAGAACCCTTAACAACATTACTTTTGGTTTTTATACTTCATATCAGAGTTGAAACTATTAGTCAGTTAATTGTTTAGTCCATCAACAGAATAATAACCAACATCTATTTCACAAGGATCATAATAATAATTGGAGCTATTCTGTGCGGTTTTATAAATATTTATTGTGCGAATATCTTTGGGGTTTGGAATGTTGGCTGGGAGAACAAGACATTGGACCAGTTTCTGACATTTTATCAAATAAATTATTAGATAAATAAATAATTGATAGAGCAGTCATCAGAATACATAAATTTGAAACTGAACAGAGACGCCCACAGCAGGTGGCCACTTTATGAAGCCCTTTCCACAGTGTGCGTTTTGCCGCGTGGCAAAGAGGATTTCTGAAGCATGTCTGGTCTGGCTTTACAATGATTAGTTGAGTCATTAACGATTGCACCGCCAGAGCATTTACTGCGCTCAATGTTTCGTCCTGTTTTAAACAGGTTTTTTTCTTCTATCTCTGACTTCAACATCATGGTGGTTAAAAGGGATTTCACAGACCTATGGATATGTTGTTCTGGGACAAAGCTGCAGTGTTGCATTGTTTACAATGACGTCCTAATTTTTTTAAGTGATTTTGTTGGTCAGTTTTGGGGTTCTTTACAATTTTTGCATCTGATTCTCCAAAGTGTGGTTATTGTCACGATGACTTCACCCACATCTGTTTTGTTGACTGTGGTTTTGAAGCCCCGGTTTTGGCGTTTTGGCCACCGCCAACTTGTTTTTTGGCTGTTTACTATAATAGGAATAATAATTTACTGGATGAACCTCATGCATTGAAGACCACCTGAAACTACCCATTGAAAACGTTACTCATGTTTCACCATGTTTTATGTTTACTGAGATAAAACAATGACCGAAGTATTTCTATGAAATCAATTGTTTTTGTTAGCGGTCGAGCATTGGTTCCCGTGATAATCTACACCTTTTTGTGAGCCGGCCCCTCAGTCAATCCTAAAGACCGTCGACTCTCTACTAATGTTGCTTCATCACACTGTCCACAAACGTCAGAATACATTTAGGTTAGTGTGTGAAAGGTACTGTTTGTCTGTGGACGCAGGAGGCTCAGCCTGCCATGCAGCAGTTATCAGTAAACAGAGGGAAACAGTTCTGCGTTTACTTAATGGAGAGGGTATTTTTAGACAAAACGTAGCAAAATAACCTGTTGCAACCTAAATCCATTCCCAATTTCAATGAAGAGAAGGGCGGCGGCAATGAATCTGCATTCCAATGTCAGATTACTTGAACAGAGCATTGGGACGTACGCTTCCCCTGTGAAATATTACTCGTTTATACACTTATTTATGCAGCTGCATGGTAAGATAACACAAGCATCAGAGAGGGAGGGGCGCTGCTCGGCTGGCAGGACAGTGATGATAAATTGTGGCAAGAAAATGTGTGTTGAAAAGGTTTATTATTCTAAAAAATAAAGTGCTGTCTCTTAGCCTGCTAGTTCCTATAGCTTGTCTTTGCAGCCACATCAATACCATTGCAATTACAAATGGGTTATTATATCCTACACAACCATATCAACCTCAGAACAATTTATACATCTGCAAACTGCAAAGGAAAGGAAAGGATTGTGTGTTTGCTGCTGCCATCTGCTTTCAATTCCGGTATCAATAGCTCTCACAGTTCATTTCAGAAGAAGCAAAACAACTCTCCTTCTAAATAACATTGTAAATGAGGTTGGGATAAGTTATCGGTACAGATATATTGATTGGAAGTCAGTATGCTTATTGCGTTGGGTGGGAAATAAGCAAATAAACTCAGCAGCTGTATTGCATTGTATTGGTGTCTTATTTTTAATCCATTGATTCTAATACTTCTGCTCTGTGCACACTCCATTTTTACCACAGACCTGAAGCATACCGAGAACCACACAAGACCACAACAGACCAGACCAGGTGCAGCCCCAATATTGACACCATCTTTCCCCCTCCCCCTCAGCCCTCCTGGCTGCATCCACCAGATCGTCTCCAGTAACTTTATCGCTACTGCACAAACTCGGACCTCAGCGACGGGACAGAAGGCCCAGAGGTTCCCCTAGTAGACACTCTAAGCTGTGCTCTGCAATGCCACAGGTACGAGGGACGACAGAGGGAGGCGGCACGCTGTTTGCTCCTGCATGAAACAAAGTGATAAGGAGAAAAGCTAAATACGATACCGATCTGAGACAAAACAGTTGGGAAGGAGAACATGGAAGACTGTCTATTACTGTTTGTTCATTTCAGTGTTCATTTTCTCATTAAAAAATCAAATCAAATTCTGTGGTGTTGCAGCCTAGTGTCAGTGGGATGGATCCTCCCTTTGCTGACGCTTTTCAGAACTACTCCTTTGCTGACCAGGCCCTCACCAGCACCGAGCTGCTCGCCAGCAGCTCTGACCCAGCCTTCATGTACGAACTGGTGAGTGGTTACACACACACACACACACATACACTTCATCAGAAAACATAGGAAATTATTCAACTAAAATAAAAGTGTGGGCATAGTCAATAGCTATGGTATAATATAGTTCCTGCACATGTAAAGATGCATTTATGTATCATAAATTCTGAAACAGAGACATGCAAACATGAAGGGAAAGAGACGCAAACAGTTTGTGTCCAGGGAGAGAGGAGTTGGCTACAATGGTTCTCTGCCTCATGGTCCTGGAGATGAACAAGTCGAGGAGGGGTGGCAAATTGTAGTCAAATTTCTTAGCAGAGAAAATCATAATTCTGACCGGGATCTCTATAGTTTGGAGTTTAGTATCACTTCTACGTTTCTGTTTGCTACTTGACATTAAAAGATCTGAACCCGCAAAATAACAGTAGCCTTGTATTAATTGGGAAACCTCGATAGAAAAGGTTAATTAAAGTCAAGCCGTTACTTATCTACCATATCATGTAGTAAAGTGGAAAAACACTGCTGCTCGCGGCTTGGCCCAAGCAGCCCCATCCGTATCAAAAAACAATATTAGGTTACGTGTTGCACTCCACACAAACTACCAACAAACCTCTGGGAGGATTTTAATTCCCAGCACAGCACAAGGGTGTTTTCTTTTTAACATTGTATTTATTTGATATAACATTTCATCTTATACTGGAGTATTGGTAATAAAAAATCCACAATTCTTCGCAAATTATTTTCAACGTTTCAACAACTGCGGCCGGTTGCATTAGGTTTTCAAGTCGCCCGTCCATCAGTCTGTTCGGTTCACTCTTGTGAACGCGATATCACGGGAACACCTGGAGGGAATCCCTAATTTTGGCATACATGTTATGTATCAAATCCACTGTCCAATTCTTTCCAAACATGATTGCAGTCTTACTGTCATTTTGTTGGCACAAACATTTGCACATCAAAAAGGCCTTTGAAAGGGAAAAACTTCATGATGAAATATCTACAGTGAGAGGGGCATCCTCCTTTGTTTCCAGTTATTGTTAAGTTGTCCCCTTTACTCTTTCAAATGGTTTAATTTAGTATACACAGTAATGTAACTTTCTAGTCAACACAATAGTTTCAGGTTGCATTAATCAGTTGGACTTCGACCTTTACTGTCTTTGTGAAATGTGTTGAATAGAACTATAACAGAAAAAAAGTAAACCGTATGGAATCGGAGACGTCTTCTAATCCACCGCCTGGTTGACTCGCCTCCCTGTTTTCCTCCTCTCTGCAGGACAGAGACATAACCCACCGGCAGAGCCCCTGTCGGGACACCATCTTGGGAGACGGAGGCAAGGAAGCGGAGAGCTGTGTTGATCAGCTCATGGGTCTGGGCGAGTGCGAGACAGTCTGCAGCAGCCCAGCGTTCGAACAGTGGGACTCCTACTGGGAAGATGTCACCAGGTACCGGATCATTTATTTATGTGCTTATTTTAGACTGAGTTACAAACAACCACAGGTTAATAAGACATTAATACATACCGGTGAATCTAATGGAGCTCCAATGGCATAGGTACAACTTTCCAGTCCCCTGTGTTCTCAAGTGCTGCTGAGCCTGTCCTGCACATATACTTGCCACGGATGCATCATTCATATCTATGGCTTCACTGCACAATTAGTTGTAGTTAATTAATCTCTGACAATATCTTATCCGGCCATTTTCCAGAATCAAAGGTGACATCTTTTGACATTCCCCCACCCCCAAAAATGAAAACTTTGACTTCTGATTCTTCTGCCTGTGTATGTAATGTCTCTGTCTTAAACAGATACACTCGGCTGGCCAGCTGTGACGTCTGGGGCACCAAAGAGGTAGATTTCCTTGGATTAGATGACTTTTCAAGTCCCTACCAGGACGAGGATGTGATTGGTAAAACCCCGACGCTGGCTCAGCTCAACAGCGAGGATTCGCTGCCCGTCTGTGAGGCGCTCTACCCGCCCGCTGAGGGGGCGCTGCCCGCCCCTCAGCTTCCGCTGTCCCAGCTTCCCTGTCACAGCAGGAGGCCACTGTTCCCTGGCCATGGATTTGGCCCTGGCTCTTCACGGCCTCCTCCAAGCTCCACATCCTCTTTCCGTACTCCCCGCTGCTTTCGCCCAGACTTTCCTGAAAGCACCAAAAAAGCCACCAGACCTATCCCCTCCAGCACTGAGACTATGGCGAAGAACCAAAGCCTCCTAAGTCTCACGCAGGATCACGGCCAAGCCGAAACCAAGACCTACGGCCGAGGAACCAAGATGGCAGCCCCAACCTCTTACGGCACTGACTTTGTGCGGAAAGCTAAAGTCCGTGTGAGTGCTGTGCCTAAACCTCAGCCCGACGCGCCCTCCCAGAAGGAGTTTGAGAAGTCACTTCCGCCTCGACCTCTCTCCCAACCACAAGACGAAAAGGCCTGCACTTCAGCCACAGCCACCTTGGTGGTGATTCCCGTGGCTGCAGGCAGTGGCTTTGCCAGCCTGACGAGCTTTGAGAGGAGGGCAGAGGGGACTGGGGCGAGCGAAGCGCCTGCAGGCTGGTCTGCCCCCGTGCCACAGCTGGTTGAGGCGAGCCCGGTCCTGGAGGGCAGCCCACCCGGACTTGCTAGCGGCGGCGATGTCGTGGCGGGAGCGAGCGGCGGCAGCACAGATCAGGCCGTCGAGGGCGCGGAGAAAAGCAAGGAGGAGGAGCACAACTACTCGCTGTTCCTGACCCACAACAGGCTGGCCATCAGATCCCACGTCAAGCAGGAGGACGAGGAAGAGGAGGAGGAAGAGGAAGAGGAAGAGGAAGAGGAGGAGGAGGAAGAAGAAGAGGAGGACGAGGAAGATGCCGAGGAGGAGGAAGGCGATGGGCTTGAGCTCGATGACGAAGACCACGATGAGGGTTTTGGCAGTGAGCACGAGCTGTCGGATAATGAGGAGGAGGAGGAGGATGAGGAGGAGGACGAAGACTACGAAGCTGACAAGGACGATGACATGAGCGATGCCTTCTCCGAGCCAGGTAGCAGCCCGTCTTCTTCATGCTTCTGGTTTGGTGTGACCAATGCATGACGTGTCATTGTCTGAGTCATTTTCTGTGTAAATGATGACCTTTCTTTCTTTATTCCCACATAATACTCTACTTTAAATAGATTTTCTTTTGCACTGATATCCTCCCCGTTCTCCTGTCTCGTTTTCTCCAGGATGTGACATGGAGCTAACGGAGGACATAAAAGGCCTGACCGCAGGAGTCTCTAGCCGGAAGAGGGGCAAGCGTCGCTACTTCTGGGAGTACAGCGAGCAGCTCACCCCCTCCAAACAGGAACGAATGCTTAAGCCGTCTGAGTGGGACAGACACACGCTGCCTAGCAACCTTTACCAGAAGAACGGGCCTCTCCATGGTATACACATGCAATATATATATATATATATATATATATATATATGTGTAAAAGCATATAGTTTCATTTCCCCACCTTGATCAAACATCACCGCATAATACGTATCTAATATGCTTTTAGTGAGCTGCAGTGCTGCAGCACTGATTCTCTCAGCGGGACTGTGGCGGTTGGGACTAACACAACAGCAGCTGTGCACAGCATGTTGCAGTGATACTATAGTTTAAGTGATCACATGTTCAAATGCCCTGCACAAGCCTCCGGATACTTTTTCTTGCGTTTGTATCTGCATTTATTTGATCCGTCTGTTTAGATTGTGTCTTTGTAAAGGCATGGGATCCCTTGAATTTCACTCAAGGCTACAGAGTAAAGATTTGGGGGAATTGTTCAGATCAGGATTGTTCCTGATTTATTATTCGGTCACAGTTAATTTAACATACAACAAATAATATTAAATTGGGAAGCAATACGAGACCAATGAAAACGGACACTGCGATAGCTGTACTTGTGTAGAGAAGCATCTCTAACGCTTCCTCTCATTGATTGTCATGAAGGAAAGTATATGCTGAAGAAGTCTCGCCGCACAGACGTGGAAGACCTGACCCCAAACCCACGCAAGCTGCTGCAGATCGGCACCGAGCTCCGCAAACTGAACAAGGTCATCAGCGACTTGACGCCCGTCAGTGAGCTGCCGCTCACCGCAAGGCCGAGGTCCCGCAAGGAGAAGAACAAGCTGGCGTCCAGGTAACTCATGCACTGCTCACACACACACACACCAGAGAAGTGTCTTTTGTAGCCTGTATCTGTTTATTGGGGAGCACGTCATGTGTCGCCAGTGCCGGCCGTTGCGCATTAGTAAACTGTGCACATCTGTTGTTTATCGTAGAGCTTGTCGTTTAAAAAAGAAGGCCCAGTATGAAGCAAACAAGGTGAAGCTCTGGGGACTCAGCACGGAGTACGGTACGTTGCTCTGAATCCATTTTCCTCCTCCCTTGATGGATTTTTTTTTCTTCAAATGTATTGCTCTTAATCGACCTGTATCTACTTTAAAGCTTTTTCAGCTTCAGATCTTTGAAAGTGACCAGAAAAGGGGGTTATCATCAACGGTTGCTGAGTGCACTAATGTTTTGGTGGTGCTTATTTGGGTCTTCAACCATGTGCCCCCTGTAGATCGGCTGCTCTTTGTGATCAATGCCATCAAGGAGGAGATAGTTTCCAGAGTGGAGGACTCGTCCCCGGGTCCGACCAACATGGCTGAGACTCTGGAGCATCTCATCAAGGAGACACTCGGTGAGAATCACGGTCACGGTCATCATCACATTATGAACAACAAGAAGATAATACGGGGGAAATTAATGCATTTAACTAGAATATCACAGAATAAGGTTTCTCTGGAATAAATATGGTGTATATATAATATATTATTATGTATATACATAAGGAGTATGTATATGTATTACAGTTAAACTCAATCTGAACAGTAAAGTTAATCACAGTAATATAGTAGATTTTCTTTAGGTGCAGTACAAAAATCCCCATGTATTTGTTTTGTGTACGTTGTTTTACAGAAGATGTTCTCATGTGTCTTACTACAGTGTCATCACCTGTTGCTGGGGAGACCTCAGATTTTGTCAACAAGATCTTGGAGAACACGGGACACGGCGATCCCACCGGCGGACTGGTCGGCCTGCGAGTCCCCACCTCCAAAGTCTAGACAAACTGCGGTCGACTGAGAGCAGTGGACTAAATATTACCACCGTGCTGTCCCATTGTAACTATGCTCCCTGCTGCATGCCCCCCCCACCCCACCACCAACCTAACGTAAATACACATTGTTAGTCACACAAACACACATACCGCTCCCTGTGTGTACGTATGTGTGCTTGTTTTAGCCATGCCACTGTACAGGATACACCTCAGCTTACTCTCTGCACACTGTGCGCAGAGTCAGTGTGTCACTCTCCCAACCCATCGTCAACGTCTGTTGGGGAAAGCGCCTCTAAGAGCAAGAGATGGTTAGGTGTAAAGGTAATCGCACGTCCTAAATCGCACCGGTGGCTATAAGATGTGTTTAACATAGTGTTGTGTGGGATCGGATCCGTTGGAGGTTTGCTTCCGGGGCGGACGCAAAGACAGTCACACGTCCGGGATACTTTCACACAGTTCATCTGAGGTTTTAACGATAGAGGAAGAATCGTTACGCATCGGACACCGTCCAAGGTCGGAAAGAGTTTCAGTAATCATTTCCTAGAAGAGACTCTCCTTCCATGGCAACACAAATGAACTCAAGTATGTTGAGCAGACCCACTCACAAAAAAGACTTTGGAGTCGACAGCTTTGGCTGCGAAGGCAGCTGGGGAAGAAAACAAAACAAAACCGAAGAAGGTTGCGACCGAGGCATTTTGGGGTGGCAGGAAGTATTTTGTATTGAAGGCCTCAATATGTAACAGGCCATTCCCTGTTTGCCAATCAGGTCCGATGGTGGTAGAATTTAGGAGTTCTTAGCAAAACAATGGTCAAAACAAAAAAGCAATAGAGGCTTAAAGTCAAAATTGGACTCAGCTGATTAAGCGACGGAGATCCTGCTGGGCGGAGGTTTCCATCCGGCAGGAGGAAGCTTAATGCTTCATTTTGACTTAAACAGCAGGAGGCGAATGACCACGAGGAGAAAAAGCGTGTGTAGTTTGGTGCTTTTGGTGCTGGTTTTGACTGGACCGGGTGAAACGGGCATTTTGCCGGAATGGGAGCCGACTGTGAGTGAGATGTTTGCGGTGGTGGTGATGGTGGATGACAAAGAGTGACGCATCTCCTCTAGAAAATGTACATAAGTGTCTCCTGGTGAACAACAGCACTGGCTCCCCTATTTGTACAGTAGAGATGACCAGGTGTGTTCATACTAGTGTTTGATCAGAGTTCTATTCATTGTGCCTTGTGTGTGTGTGTGTGTGTGTGTGTGTGTGTGTGTTTCTGTAAGTGAGGTGAGAACATGAGAGGGACTGAACGAGGAGAGGTGATTGGTCAGAACTCCCTGGGGTCCAGCCAAGGAGAGGACCGCTTTACACCGAGGGAGGTCGTTGGATTGAATGCAAGGAGGGAGACAATTGTGGGGTTTGATGTGTATTTCAGTTGTCTAAAGATATTCTGAATGTACAAAAATAAGTGGAAGCTTTCGTTGCGTCATGCCACAGAGTCTGTGTATATAGGAGGTCTCTGCGATGGATTCATTTAGTTTTTTGGTACTCTTGTCTTTGGGGATTGGGGGAGGGTTAAGAGATATTTTTGTTTGGAGTTACAAAAAAATATTTGCACACTATATTTTGATTGTTTTTTTGTACCAAAGACACATGCAAAATGGCGACCAGCCAGTTAAAGTAAGGTTTTGCACAGCTTAACTGACGCCGTATTGAATGTAAGAAATGTGGGAGGGTCAGGGAACTTCGTAGAACTGTGAAATTAGCTTGGGTCCAATTCTGTACAGAAAAGGAATATTCAGTCATGTTTTTAAGAATATGAAAATGAACTCCATCTGTGGGCTTCTCCAGTAGATGTGTTGCGTAGCACGCACTTCATTCCTGAACTGGTTCCTCCCTCCTCGTGCTAATTGCTCTTATGGCGCTAACTAGGACAAAAGAAAAAAAAAAAGAGCGTGAGTAGATAAGCTATGTTACCTTTTTGTTTGTCCGAATGTCACCAACAATAACCAAAATGTTTTGTTCCTGGTGTCACTTGTTTGATTTCTGTATTTAGATGAGGTCTAGTCCATCAACAGATATTAACCTAATTGTGTTTTAGAGTACTGTCTATAAATGTCTATCAATGGTAAAATGCCACTTTCATGACAATTAGTTTTTAAGCATGCCACACCTCTACATCTTATCTTTGCATTGAGTAGGTTAGTGGGAAAAAAGAAAAGAAAAAAAAGTGTTATATTTTTGTACTTTAGCTGCCTGCTATCTTTCCTGTTGGTTTGGAAGTATTTGTTGAGTGGACAGAATGAAATAAGGGGGGAGAAGAAGAGAACGGGCTGAAAGAGCAGTCTGTCGATCTGATACTTTGATTTATAAAGCGAAACCCGACCCCGTTCGTATCGTTTACCGCTTGAGGGATTTACAGAGAATCAAGACTGGATTTATTTGAAACACAATGCAACAAAGCCACGGACAAGTTTGGGTGATCCATGAGGGGAATGAGGAACTGCCGTCCTTAGAAAGGACCGAAGCATTGGAGCGTTCTCCTATGTTGATCTGGATTTAGCACTGTGCATTGTGATCCCGATGTTCACACGTATTCCCTCTTTCACCATGAAATCGGTTAAATTTTGCATTTCCTGGGATTGGTGTTTTTTTTCGGTACTCTGCTCACATTCTTCCTGACCAGCCAAAGCCGCGAAAATCACACTCTTCACCAAAACGTTAAACTATCCGGGCTGCCGTTCGGCGGCTTGTCCGAACTTTAGAAATGCATGATGTCTGCATGCGTGCCTTCCTGTTGACTCCTTAGACGAAATGCTGCCATTCCCAGGAATTTTAAAATTCAACCGGAGTTCTCTCCATTAACCGGCTAAAATAGACAAAAAAATACACGTTTGGCCAAACTGAATTCAGGTTAGTTTGAAGGGAAGAAAGTACTCCTTCACAGAACGAACTCTGATGTCTGGTCATGGTCATGCAGAGCTGTGGTCTTTTTGTAATGTGTTATTGAATAACAGCTAGTGCTGAATCTATATATATATATATATATATATATATATATAATATTTTTTATTCCATCTAAAAAGGGAGAAAAGGTGCTTTTTTTCAGAAACTAGAAGGATGAGTATCCATGATTCTTATTTGACTTCTTATTGCTAGTTGTAGCCTAAATCACTTGCTCTCCTCTACCCGTCCATAGCTATTTTTCTTAGTACGGATTCATTTTTGTAAATAGACTATAAGTCTACATGTACCTTCTAAATGTTAGATATGTGATTAGAGACTATCTTATATGTTTGAAACAAAAGCACTTTGTCCAAAAAAGGAAAAAAAAAAACAACAAAAAGGAAAAAAATGCTTTTTTTTCTTCCATTTGCTGCTAAAAGGCCTGGTGTGAATGCTGCAAGTGTACTTGCTGACTACTTGCTAGGATAGGTCTATTACCTGACTTGGCCAGGTCTATAAACTGGCAGGAAACCGGTGCGCGATCTGACGAGGGTTAGATCTAAATGTTTCTGTGGCCATGTAATGATATGAGGTGCTGTATTATGAGCATGTATCATTGCTTGGCTTTGGGAAGCCCAGACAGGATAGATTTATTTCCTGGTCAGGAAATGTGTTTGTGGTCTTAAAAAAATTTTAAAAAAAAAAGAAGAGGGTTTTGATTCCAGGGCCCCTACTTTGATCCTGATGCTGAACCCTTTAGCGTCACGATTCATTTGCCTTCAGTAGAGGTTTCCTATGGAAAGAATTGATTCTGCTTTGGCTTCCTCTTCAGGGTGATGTACAGTGTAGACACATTTCTCCAGAGAGCTATATTGTTATAATTTGTAAACTGATTTCTACTTGTGACTTAATAAGGAGGAGGAGGAGGGGGGGCGGTTGAGCCCAAAGCGCCCAGGAAGAGCCTGTCTGAAAGATGCTGTTCCGGGCCGCCTTGGGGGAGGTTACTATATCATTGTACTGTATGGCAAGCGCGTCTCAAAAGCAGACTCTAAATCTGGATACTTATTGCCTTTTTAAACTTTTCACTTACACTCAAAACAAAAAAAGAATTACTTGGGCAGACGTGTCTGTTGCCGAGGTTCATTACATTGCCCTGCCAATATATTATGAACAGCAACAACTACTATTCTGCCCGATTGGCTCAAAACACCCTTGACTGAAGTAGGAGACGTGAAATGTGTCTGAAAAATGGCTTCAAAACTCCTTGTGTTCAGCTGTATCGTTTGGGACTACTGTTGAAGCATTTTTCTTTCAACTACAATTCTGCCCGAGTCCGGTACGGCGTCGCCGTTTGTTAAGAGAGCCGCTGGCAGTCAAACCAGCCGCGCTGTGTGTGCGTGTGTGTGCGTGTGGGGGGGGGGTGTGTGTGTGTGGGGGTGTGTGGGTGTTCTGTAGACGAACCTAATTCAAAAGAAGAGTCCTCGAAGGTTTTTACATTTAACATGTAATCAACTTTACATTCAGACCAGGAGACTCTGTGGCATTTTAACAGTCAAGGAATTTAGTGAAAATCCACGCCAGTAAAAATATTCCTTTATTTTTTTTTATTACTTCTGATGATATAAATCCTATTCATTCAATTATTAAGCTAGCATGTGTGACTTTGTACTCTTGTCCAATAAAAGCTAAGATGGATCCATAAAGCTTTTCTTCAGCAAATCAGGGTGACATTTTTCTTCTATCTGACATGTGATGACATATAAAAAGAACAGAAAATATATTTATGTATTCCAGTTATAGCCATTCTTTACTCCTGTACAACAACAAAAAACTCTGTGCGTGTGTGTTATGAAATGTCAATCAATATAGTGCAATGCTCGCTAGACAAACTTAAAAGAGGCCAACAGACGTGTCACAACAATTCCCAGTGTCCCCGCTCTCCCCTGATTGGTATTCAGACTTACACAACCTGCAACATCTCGCTCCCACAAAATAAGATTTTACTATTTTTCGCCATGAAATCATGGTACATGGTGCTAAATTACTTTTCCAAGGAAGCACCCAATAACTTAAACGGCAACTGTATTGGATCCACTCACCCGGATAACATGTGATTTTTTTGTTCCCAATACCTGCATTAAAACCGTCGGAGGAACATCGTTATTCTGAACAGCAGTAGACTAGTGATTTCTGTATGCCAATATTTCTAATGTAAAAGTCAGACTCCTTGATTTGATGCCATTGCTCAAAGCCACAGAGGATCTTTATTCCATCTGGGAGGTACAAACTTTTGTTTTGATCTTAATCAGCAAGTGGAGTTTTCTACTAATGTTAAAATGTGTTCTGTGGTTTTAGTATTTAAAAAAAATCTCTTTGAATAGCGATACAGTTTAGCAAATGAAACATTATTATTCATATATACAATTGGTCAAAATTACAAGTATTGCTTGCCGTAATTTAGTTTTTCTTAACATCAAGCAACCTAAAAAACTAGAATGACTTTACCTCCTGCTGGCCGTGATGTCAGATCTCTGAGTCTGGTTTTGAGTTTTTTGGGGGCAAGTTTCCTGTCTTGTTCTGACCCATGTGGGCTCCCCTGCTTGGCTCCGTCCCCACTAACCTGTACATGTTTCCCAGTATGAATTGGAGAAATACAGAAATGTACGCAGTGAGAATAATGTTTCTGCACGACGACGTCCCGCATAGCACCGAGAGAATCAAGTAATGTCTGGAGCTCTTTGCAGGAAAGAATTCGGCCAACCAATGGAAATCGTCTCCATTGTTACTCTGTCAAATGATTTCATACTTGCTGCTATTGAATGAGCACAAAGACACTTATGTTTTTGGTTTGCGTGTCCGTGACACAGACTATTTATTTACAACAGTCCCTGTTTTTTTTGTCACACTTTTCCTACGACAGTCAAAAGACCAACAGTGTTGCTCACCTTGCACTTGATTTTTGAATACGATGCCTGCTGAACCAGGTGCCTTAATCAAATATATGAGAACACAAATCTGCACCTTGGGTCGGGAGGGAGGGGATTCCCTACACAAACAAGGGGCTAGGTTTCCAAAAACCTTTCTAATTGTAACTCAAATCAAATCAATACACCTCGTGTAACAGCAGATATGCCGTTTGTCGTGTCTGCATAGGATTTAAATGCAAAAATAAGAGAGAAAAAGATCAATTTAAACTCTAAATTGATGATGTTTTGGGAAACCTGGTTCCTTCTTTAAACTCTTTCTCTGCCCACTACGCCACATTATTGTGTTTTGTGTACTGGCTGCTATCACCGCCGGTGTGTCCGTGTAGAGAAGAGCAAACTTCCACAGCGCGTTCGATGTTAAGAGGGAGACCTGGGCCGAGTCAGTTTGAATTGCATTCTTCTTCACCTGCGGGGGTTGAAATGGAGCACCGTGTTGCCGAGTCTTGAGACCTTTTTTTTTGAGAAAAACAAAGAAAAAAAAGAAGAAGAAGAAGAAAAAAAAAAGAAGTTTAAAACAGAACTTTCTGTTTTCTTAACTGTGCTATTATAAAGTGCCAGACCCTCCCTGAAGTCAGCGTGGCGGGTTGCGAACGAAGCGACGAGCTGAGCGCGGGAGGGAAAAACCGTGGTGCTAATCTGTCTGGCTGGGTGCTGACATGGCTGCGTTTTTAAAAAGCTGTTTTAGCCATACTGTTCCTTCCCTCGATGACCGTGTCCAGTCTTGTGTTTCTGGCTGCTGCGTGCCGATTAGAGCGAGGGCGCACCGGCTGCTTCGCTGACGAATGTGGACTCGTCTTCCTCAGCAGTATCCTAAAGACAGACGCCAGTGTCTGCTTGAGCTTTTTCCTGTTGCGCTAATTCCTGTTAGGCTTTCGTCTGGAGACAGAGGGAGACGCTTGTCGTCAGGATGTAGATGAATGTTTTTAATCTTTTATATGGCGCCGCCATAATATTATGGTTGGATATTTATGCTGACTCTGTCAAATGTTGCTTGTTTAGAATTTATTTGCCCTAAATTATATTTTGCTGCGTATTTTCCCCCGATCCCAGTGTTCATACCATTTCTTTTGATATTTATTTGTTTTGTCCTGTAAATTAACATGTACGGTGACAATTTTTTGAAACTAAACTTAATAGCGTTTCCACTGAAACGCGACATACCAGGAGTCACAGACATCACATGATGTTCACAGAGGTGAATCAAAGTCACATTGAAACCAGTTTTTTGTATTATTTTTTTTACTTAACTATCTTCATTATGTCCAGCTATGAATAAATTGTTATTTATGTTGGATCAGTGCGAACAGGGCCTGGCACTGACTTTTACTGGATTTGGCTGCATAACATACATGTGATCAGAATAATTTTGCATAATTACATGAAAATACGACACATAGTGGCTTCGGTTGTTGCCTTCCTTGCCTTCAATATCTTACGCCTTTTTATACTCACTCGCATTTATTTCTGCCCCAAAGCCAGTTAAAGGAAGCAAGATGTTGTCGGCGCTGCAGTTCCATTCGTGACTTTGATTACGCGTCGTCTGTGAAGCCCATGAGGCGTTCTGTCGTTGGCGGTCTGAGGCAGTCGGGTAGGCCGGACTCACCGAGTCAGCAAAGAGAAGCTCTCGACACAACTCGTCTGCTGCCGTGGATTGCCGAGGTTCGGGCGCTCCGCTGCCTTTTTGAAGCTCACATTGGCAGTCGACTCGCCTTGCTCTCTCTGTCTTCGGTGGGAAATTTGTGAGCCTTCGATCGGTTTTCTGGGAAAACTGCACCCGGGATGTTTTGAAGCCCTCCTGGGTTTTAAAGAAGGGCTTTGGTGCGCAGTTGCCTTGTCAGGGAGCTGCTGGTATAAGCCGGGGGCCACTTAATGCTGGTGGGCAGAGACCCCTCATCCTCCCCTGAAATGATTGTTCGGGGCAGGGGAGTCATTTCCTCTTCTGCAGACTGATCTTTTTTTAATCAAAAGACAAGAAGCCACCCATGATTATATAAACAACCCCTCTTTCTTTATCTTCACATGTCAACATGCAACACTGCAGTGATTCACAGCTCCTTCCAGATTTTGCCAAAATGCATGGAGAGAGAGAGATTTAACAAACAACATGTGCTATAGGATAATCTTTTTTTTTCCTTCAATTTTGATAATCAAGACGGACAGCGAGGAGATTTTATGGTAAAATTGTACAAGTCCATGTAGAGGATTTGGGATGGATCGTTCATTCTGAGCTCCACGGCTACATGCCGTTGTAATGATGCTTATGGTCTTGTATGGTAACTTATTTGACCAGTTCAACAGCATGGGATCTTTCTGTAGATTACATTAGTCCTCTATGTTCCTCCCCCCAGTCTCATTGCTAAGTGCTCTATAATAGGTCTCTTGGTGATTTATAATTTCTTTTAAGAAGCAAAACCTGCAGAAAGTGTATCCTGCTGAAACTAACTTGATCCTCTCTTTAGCAATGACGTCTATATTTGTAGTTCACATATATGCCTGTTCGAATACAATATCTTGACAGTTATATTTATGTTGTGTAATAAATGTTGTGCTGGGTTTTTACTTTTTGTTTTATCTAACTTTTTCTTTTCTTTTGTTTCTTTTTGGATGCACAGTGGGCGGTTTTGTGCACAAGCACGGAAATCTAAAAGATGTTTTTTTTTTTTTTGTTGGTTTATACTGTAAAACTCATTCTGTTTCAGAGCTTCCGACATCCTGCAGACACAAGCCCGGAATCTCTGTTGTGTTATCGTGCCTCTCTTTTTCTTTCTTATCTTTTTTTTTTTTTTTTTTTAAACCTTTTTCTGTTGTATCAGCCAGAGTTGGTACCACAGCTCTGCTTGTAACCACAATAGTCTGATTTATGTTTATTAATTTTGAATATCAAAATAATAAAAAACCATTAGCACCCCATCCCAAATCGTGTGAATTAGTTTATGTAACTTTTAGGATCGCTTGGATGAAGATCCCAACATACATACGGATGTCTACAAACATTTAAATTGACTTTCATAGTAGTAGAAGCAAAAAAAAAACCCACCACAGGTCCTCTCATTCCTAATAACAATAGATGTGTAAGGAAGATAAAAATACACAATAGTATTGTATGACGCACGCTGTTGGAGATTTCAGGCCAAAGTCCATACATTTCTAGCAAAGATGTTAACGGGTCACAAATACATGGTTTCCTTGCTAGAAAAGGCTGATTAATTTCCAAAGTGCATTTTTTTCAGCAGGTAATGCAGTTTTGTAAAAGTTGATGCGCTCCTCCATCAGAATGAAAGAACCGAGGAGAGCTCTTTGGCAGAGATACAAAAGCTATTTCTGAGTTCTTGACAATACATGTTAGTAGGTTTATTTTACTGTTTGTTTGGGTCTCTGGGGAATTATATAATATCATCATATCAAATACAGTATGACTGAGTATGTATCTTAACACGGATTTATGAATTTAAAAATCTTTTTTCACTTAATTTTGAAAAGCAGAATGAATCAATTGCCAGCAGAATTCATTTCCAGTTCACTGACCACAAGATACGGATATTAGATATCTTCCCCTTGATAAAGTCCGGCATATTTACCCACAGGAAATGTCAGTATTTCCTGTCTGTGCTGAATTTAGTGTGAAAACAACACATCTTTGTCCTTCTGATGCAGTATTTCCCTCTGACATTTGTCCACCTATGTATACGTATCTAGTTTATTTAAAAACGCCCAACCAGACGTCCTGTAGCTTTGGACATCCCCATTTATGTTGCAGGTTCACACCTACATTTGTTATTTCTTAAACACACGGATGGATTGAAGTTGGTTAATTTATTAATTTTGTATTTTTAGCCTTATTTAATAAAGTTTAACCATATAAACTCATGCAGGTTTTATTTTTTACAAACTCTCAATATTTTGTCCAGCAGTTGAAAATTCAAGCTTTATTTTCATCCCAGTGGAGATCCTGTGCGTCCAATGTGAGTTATTGCGCCAGATATAAAGAATATTCCACCCCAAACTATTTTCTTTGAATTTTTCCCATAAAGCCGTACGATGTTACTCAGAGGTAAACTTAAATGATTTAACATCCGTTTTCTGTTAGTAAGCCTATCTTATCTTAACGGAATACGTTAATTATTCATGGCACAATGGTTGTAGTAGTTGCGGCATAAGATTGTTAAGACCGTTGCTTCGCCTTCAGCAGAGCGCGTTATATTTTGGGCCTCCTGCTTGCCGTACAAAAACAAATATGGCGTCTTTCGCGGACGTACACGTCCGAATTTGTGCTCACGAAATTATTAAATATGACCTGGAAATCAAGGCTATCGTGCAGGTAACACCTGAATATGACTGTTGTGTTTGTTTGTCTTTTTGCCCGTGCTGGTAGCCGTTATTTTTGTGGAGGTCTGGACAAAGTCATCGTCAGCGGGTCTTTAATTCGCTCTAGACGCCATAAAAGAGTGAAGCTAATGTTAGCGAACGCGTGAAGTGAGTTAAAAGATATTTGTAACGTTAATTAACGTTATTAGAAAAGAGGTAAATGATAATAAACGTGTTTAACTGTATCAAACATCGTCCCATCATTTATTACAGTGAGTCACGGGGACGCCAGCGTTAGCCGGTGTGTCGGACAGATCGATGAGGAGTAACGTTAAAATAAGTTATTATTTGATAAATGGGTGGTAACACATGATTTGTTATTAGGCATCAAACCAGACCTTTTGCCCAATCGCTGAATGCTGGAAAAGTTCAAATTACTTAACCCCTGTAAGCCCATTACGCTTACGTTGGAGACATCTGCAGATGAATCAGTAAAGATTGGCAGACTTCATACTTACTTAAATGTTATTTATAATATTTTACTATTACAATCAATAAATCCAATTAACAGTAACTAACGTTTTACCGTTTTTTTGGAAAAATTGAAAAAATGTTTGAGTTCATTCCAATAATATGATACTAGGGCATTACATCCCTTTTTGTTATATTTTATCAAAATAAATAAATATGAAAAGATTGATCCTTTAATTCAGTACTTCTTCGTATGATGTTATTATAAGATTTAAATAAAACCGTTCTAAAGAAAATTCAGAATGAATCGTATCTTTCAGTGTTAATGTTTCATGTTAAATAAACACAAGTATGTGCCATCTCATTTTGTTTGTGTTACCTGTAGGACATCAGGGATTGTCCTGGACCTCAGTCAACCCTCATGGAGCTCAATTCTCAGGTCAAGGAGAAGTTCAACAAGCTCAGAATTAGAATACAGGTCAGTCCTCACATCCCATGTGTACTGTGTTGCTTTTGACAGACGTGTTGCTTGAAATCAAAACTGTTTTATTTGACATGGATGCGCTTTTGACAGGACTTGGAGCAGATGGCCAGAGAACAGGACCGAGAGACGGACAGACTGGCCATCCAGGAAGAGACAGAAAGCCAGCGAAAGCAAATGCTGAGGTGTGTGAACCCATTTTCCCCCCGACAGACTGTATTGACCTCAGCAATCCGGCTTTAATGCCAACGTCCCGTCAAAGGTTTATGTCAGTGAACCCGTCTTTATTTTGTTTTCAATCGACACATCACAATGAATTGTAATGCTTAGTTGAAACCCAAACCTGATGGATGTGTATCATATTATCTGATGGATGTGCATCAGGTTTGGTGGTTTCTTTGTCTCCAGAAGTGGGAAGTAAAGATTGCTATCAGTAGTCTAAAAAGGAAAATTGATGTATCGTGTTCATCAGGCTTTTGGCAGTAGTTCACATTCTTGACCCGTAAGTGTTGACCCTTGAAAGAAGTTGCAATGGGATCATACTAGGGCTTAGCAGCTTGGCCAAAAATTCATGTCATGGTATTTTGTATGATTCTGTATGATTTTGTATCACAGTTTTATCAACATTCATTCATTCATTGGGCCAAAAAGGACCGCTGGCCACTCAAACAGCTGTTCACCACTCGTTGTTCACCGCTGGCATGTTAGCTTTTAACCAGAAATTTCGTTTGTTTGTTGTGTTTTTCTGTGGATCTAGTAACCAGACAGCGTGGAGGAAAGCTAACCTGGCTTGTAAACTAGCCATAGACGTCACAGAGAAGAACGAGCTTCTGCAGGGGGTTGAACACCAGGGCACCAGACAAAGGTCAGTAGGTAAAAGAGCTTTAAACCATTATGACGTTAGCATGGCACATTGCTTTTGTTAAGCCTAAACCCCCAATGCCGGCATTTATTAAACATCTGTCAAACTCTCTGGTCTCTTCATAACCTAATTCCAGTCTGAAGAGACTATATGCATTTAAAACGTTAATCTCTCAGATGGGTTCAGTGTTACTCATTACTTTCCGTTGCGGAAACCAGTTTTTACTGCAAAAGCATCCTGATTGATTTTGAGAAATGGATATTTAAGTTGTGTCCAGCTGTCTCTTCTATTATTATAATAATAATAATAATAATAATATTAACAATATGAATGGTGTAGATCAGCGTAGTTTGCCTTCCTACAATATGCTGCTCAGTTACAGTAACTGAGAAATTGACTAGCAGTGATAGAAGTTGTGCGCCAGGGACACGCCTCAAAATTAAAAGCTGTTTTTTTACCTCAGAGGCATCAATTTTGCAGAGATATTCTGATCTGTCCCTCATTCGCACTTTGCACGTAGATCTCATTTGAGTGTGTGAATATTGACAGTGATTTGACCTCGTACGGACTGTGTGTCTTTTTTTATTTCAGGAAGGTGACTAAAGAAAGCCTAGCAGAAACCAGTAGCAACATTACAGAGAGTCTGATGTCTATGAGCAGGAGGATGGCTGAGCAGGTGAAGCAGAGCGAGGACACTATTGGCACACTGGGTAAAAGAAAACTCTACTTTGGTAATGTTTCAGGGTTATAGTTTGTGCACAAAAGGTGATTCCTATAGGTCTTTCCCAGTTTCTACCTTTCATTACTAACATGTCTTCCGTCTTAAACCTTTTATACTCCTCCTCACACAGCCACTTCCTCGAGGACGGTGCAGGAAACCAATGAGGAGTTTAAAAGCATGACAGGAACCATTCACCTGGGAAGGAAACTGATCCTAAAGTATAACCGGCGCGAGCTGACAGACAAGCTGCTCATCTTCCTGGCTTTGGCCCTTTTCCTCGCCACCGTCCTTTACATCCTTAAGAAACGTCTCTTCCCTTTCATTTAGCTCACAAAGTTCTTTCGCTCAGCAAAATATTACCACAAGGACTTTAAAGTCAAACAGTCCTAAGACCTGACTTTCGCACATAGAGTGAAGCTTCAAGTGAAAAGTTTTCATCTGGTTGAGTTAAGCACAATACCCAATATGGGAGTAAGTACAAGGGTACTCTGAACCAACAAGAGTCAAAGCTGCCGTATAATTCAAACCTCACTTGGTTTACTGTATTACGGTATGTGTTCAACATAGAAAGTGTCCACGTTGATCTGCTCTGGGCGGTTTCTCCAGGAGGCAATTGGAGTGTTTGACGGTTTCCCCCGTGCCTTTCCTCCTTCGGACGCCTCCACGACAGATTTTAGAATTCGGATTACTCACCTTCTTAAAATGTATCTTCCACATTAAGTCAAGGAGGTTGTGAATGTTGAACGCTTCCAGTTCTACAGACGTACCAGTAGGTGGCAGGATTCCCAACCTCCCCCACATCAGAGATGCTTTATTGTTCATTTGTGTGACAAACTATTTTACAACAAAGCCGACTTACAGCAAACTACTCACTTGTCAAGTTGTTGACGTTTATTTAATTTCAATTGGAATACATAGTCTATGGTATGAATATGTATTTTTTTTATTTGTTAAAATAAAAAGTTACAATACATATCTTTAAACCTGTGGTCTGTATGAAATGTGAGTCAAGTATAGCATCAAAAACACATATTTATGGCATCATGGACAAAGAGTGCTTTCCTTCCTGCAGACTGAACCCTGACTCTCTACAAGATGCCGTTCGATAGCTTGTCCACTTTATGGTGCACAATAAAAAAAAAACTGATTTTAAATAGTCAGAATACTGACTTTGAGATAGCAGCTGAATCTCTGGGGTGTTTCACTGCCCTTTGCTGCAGGATGCAGTGACTGCAGTTTACTGTGACGTTGACGTGAGGTAGACAAATGGTTTTCACCCTTGTACGAAGTAAAATGTAAAAAATATGACTATAGCATAGACTCCCAACATATTTAATAAGTTATGGTGACATTGCTTTCAGCGGCAATGAGACACTAAAAAACCACCACCACTGCTGGTGTAATACTAATAACTCCCGTGTAGCCTAGCAGCACCTATGCTTGACCCGCCCGCCTCTTCACACAGAGGTCGCATTGGTTTTCTCAGATTGGTTGTCGTTCCGACTCAGGGCTTCCCTGGGCTCTGGTTCGGACACCTCGGTCGGCTGCCGCAGGTGCGCTTGATTTGTGCCATGCCAGGACCCGACGGGTGGTGGTGGTGGTGCGGCGGCGGTGGTGTTGTCCTGCAGAGTGTCTGCTTGGCTGTGAGAGCAGGTGCTGCCGAAGCTGCTGCACAGCGCCCCCCAGTGGTGCTCGCACTGCGCGCGCAGCCGCTGCCCGACCCACGACCCGACCGAGTCTCCGCACCGCAGCAGGAAGTTCATCAGCTCCACGTGCGGTCTGAGGAAACCAAGCACACGCTCTTTTACTTTAACACGGGCCTGTGGTGTATTTAGGAAAGTACATTCATACGTACCAGCTATATGGTAAGGTAAGGTTTTTGCCACAGTGCATTATGGCTGTTGTCTATATAAAATAGTGAATGACTTTTTAGACATACTATACTTTGATTGTATAGTATGATTTCTCTTGATCTAAACTTTACTTTAGTGAAATTATTTTTACCATGCTACAATATAACATTTTTATTTACATACTTTACCATACAATCTCTGGCTATTTTGATGGGGTTATGACAGTCGCTTTTAACATGATATCATTTTAACATGATAGCGTGCTTTCATTATGACATTTTATTCCATATTTCTAACAACTTAAATATACCATGGTTTCTTTCCTTACACATTAAACCTCACCATTCCTAAAAAAAAAGAATAGTTCTGTTTTTATTCAATTGTCCCAGTAAGCTTTAACAATGAGCCGGAAAGCACAATACTACGACCCTTAAATTTAAAGCATCCTCAAATTAAACTAATAGTTAAATCAATTTAATTTATATGTATTAACGCTAAAATACGGCTCAATACTGCAGTATTTCACAGAGGATGTTGGTGACATCAGGTTACTGGTTGCTTGTGTGTCTCCGTCTCTCACCCCGGGGGGAACATCAGGTGGAACTGCACCAGGTTGCCCATAGTCTCCATGTGGTCTTGTGGCGCGAGGCAGAGCTGGTGTTTGGAGTAACACTCCCTCTGCAGTGAGAACACCATCTCTTTTACCGCTGAGCACCGGCGGCTCACACAGCTGAAGCGCTGCCTCAGACCCAGTGCCATGCACCGCAACGCTTCCTTCACAAAGGACTTTCCCTGGAACGAGAAGGAGAGCAACATGAGGAATCTGTCTCATTTCTGATGATTCGGACAGCGAGGCTGCATCTACTGAGCACAATGTTGAATATGCTGCCGCCTTCTGTTTAAAATGATATGCCTTCATACTTTAGACCCTTTGTATTCTCTGCACAGTGGATCCTCCAATTGTGTGTGGTCGTTATTTTAAATGAATAAATTAACGGGGTCAAATGAAACGGAAATTGGCAAACCGAAGTGAATGAAAATGCTATATAGGCCTATATGCCATAGAATGCTATATAGGCGAGAGCAATATTTCCCTTGCTTGATACACAATATCCATTAATACACTAACGTTCAAATGAAATGATGTTGCAAAGTATGTCATTGTTAGGTATGCTGTTAAAAAGCCAAAGTATAGCAACCTGTAAAATTGTCATAGTATTCCATAACAATGTAAAAAAGTAATTGTACAACTTTGGCCATTTGGAATGTCATATTATACGTCATAAAAAAGTCCTAGCATTGTCCTCCAATAGAAAGAAAAATAAATAAACAGCCAAAACAATGGGGAAGACATTGTACAGTATCTTTCCGTATAGTATGGCAAGTATAGAATATAATAACAAAATAACATTAACAAGTCATATCTCTGTTTGTGTGTTTTGAAGGTTTTCAACCTGATTGACCAGCCAGACACATAAAATAGATTATCTACAGGAGAATCAATATGTTTTCAAACCACACCGTATCTACCAATATCTACATACACATGTCGGTAAATGTATTGAGAACTAAAGTGGGAATTTGTCTGTCAAAGCTCATGTTATGTGGCTCTGGCAGAAATTTCTCCAAATGTCCACCAGCAGTTGGACAACCTTTCGTCTTCCACACTAACAACAACAGACATAATCTATGCTGTAGATCCTGAGAACCAAATGGAATACTTCATCGACCTTTGCAAAGAATTTTGTAATTTCATTATATTTTTCAAATCAATAAAGACAATTCTCGTAATTATTTGTCAGATGGTATAGATTCTATAGAGCAAACATTGTTTTGCTTTTTTAGATAAAAAAAAAAGACTACCTACAATTGTGCAGAATGTTGATTTGACCTTCAGACCGGACCCTCCAGAATGCACTGGGGCTGTTTTGCAGCCGATGAGAGTCGGTACCTCCGATTAGAGGCCACGGTTCTCCGGGGGGGGGTGGCAGCGAGTCACTGACCCTAAACCCAAGAAAGGGCATCGAGGAGCTGAGGCAAGAGGCAGAATCTCTCTTAATTTACCAATCTGTCTGCGTTCTGACCCTCACCTGTGGTCTTGAGCCTTGGACCAAAAGAAGAAGGTTGATATAAGCCGCGAAAAATGAGCTTCCTTCATGGGGAGGCTGAAGCCTTCAAGGTAGAAATCCAGAGGGAGAATTGCAGTAACGTCGCATCTAATTCAAGCCAGGAGGAGAAACTAAGCTGGTTTGGACATCTGTTCATCTCTCTTAGACACCTCTCTTCAGAGGTCGACCTTATTAACTAAAGCTATAGGTACCGGTTTTGTTGGGGGAAAATATGAACTAAAGGTTACAGTTGCAGCCACCCTGCTATTACTCCATCTTATTGTCTCGATGTAGCCCACCTGTGAGTCATAGCAGCCCGCGTTGTGCAGCAAAGTGAGACAGATGTGGTGCAGCCCTTGGATCTCACAGGAGTTGTTGTTAAAACACTGAAACGTCCCACAGCCGACGTCCCCTGAACTCACCAGGCAACTCTGGATCTCGGCTGAGAGGGACAGAGAGACACAAAGAAAGCGTGTCAGCATCTGTGTCTCCCAAATCATCCTGCTTGTGCTCTGATTAGAAAAAGAGGACTACGATGACTTTGGTCATGTCCAGAAATTGAACTGCATCATTTTACAGACAGAAAAATCAATTGCCTTATTAAAATTGACAATTAAATGTAAATTCTAATGAGTTAGCTGTTCTCTGATGCTGAGATAAGAATATCCCCCAGTGGTCCTTATGAAACCGATCACTTTAACAGGCGTCCGGGGGGACTTAACAGGCCTCCCCCCCCCCCGTTTGAACACCCGTCGTAAACATCTGGATGCACTGTGGCAAAAAGCGCCGCTGGTGGAACTCACCTGCGCTCTGCGCGGACAGGCGCTTTTTCACTTGGCTCCCTTGTTTCTCGTGGGCATCTCGCAGATCCAGGGTCAGCACCTGCTGACGGAGCACGAGCAGAAACAGCAGCGCGGACACGTGGGCCGGCATGCTTCAGGCCCACCAGTCTGTCTTTAGACCTGTGGCTTCTACGGGTTGGAGCCTCGCGCACGGGGTGTCCGTCTGGGAAGTATCCCCGCTGCATGAAGCCTGAGATGTGTGTGTGTGTGTGTGTGTATATATATATAAAGCCTCATGAGCAAAGGCGCGTTCACATTTGATCTCCACCAATCACAGCGCAGCCTCGTGACGTCAGATGGAGCCAAAGGTTCGTCAGTGAGGAGAGAAGGTGACATGTGCAGCTGCGTTTGAATAAGTCCTCACATTTTCTTACTTTAAGGGCACACATTAGTGCACCGCATCTCGTTTCTCCACTGGAAGGTGCTCTCGTATATTATATCTTATTTTGGTTCCTCAAAGACAACCCTCCATGTTTTTCTCTACCAGAAGGGCCCGCTTAGCCACACTTTATGACGTTTTCTATTCTCCAGCAGGACACTTCTTCCAAACATAAGGGAACCAAGAGGAGCCGTCCCCTCTCCGAGTCCTCCAGTCAACAATGCAAAAATAATATCCAAACATTCTCTTGTAACAGCTGTCTTAAACGGGATCTTCCTGTTCCTCTGGAGTCTGCAGGTCATCCGCTCCAGACATCCACACTCATCAGCCAGATTGTGTCGGGTGTGTTTGAGGGTAAGCAGCTGTGTTCTTGGCAGAGAAACGTGCCGTGAGAAACGTAGGCGCAGTCAAAGAGAGAGAGCGAGAGCAGGAGTGTGTGATAAGGGTCATGGCATAGAGGGGGGCTGTGTTAGAGTGCTATTCCTGTATCTGTCTAGATTGCACAGACAGGGATATGTTCATACACATACATTTGTTGAAAATAAATACATCATTTGGGCTAATGCATAGTGCTACCTTGGGTTTTTACAAAATCCTATGCAGCATTCTGCAGACTTTTACCCTTTTTAACAATTTATTAACATTCATTTTATGGTTAATGCACACACACAAAATTTGTACAACCAATTCAACGTGCTCTGACTAGATCTAGTCAGAGCACGTTGGTAGTATAAGGTGTGTAATATTTATTTCTTTGGTGGTTTCTAACAAATTGTCAGCTACTCCGATCACATCAAAGTAAAGTGATTTTGTTTGCGAGTCCAAGGTGAGTTTTGCTTGGATGTCTGTTTTCTTTACGATGTGTTCCATTCTCGCAGCAGAGTTGTTGTGGTCGTGTTTTGTCTCGTAACGGCCTTGACCTTTGACCCTTGACATCAACAAAGAGATAGACCATAATCATGCGACACCACAGCATCAACATCATCAAGCGGGTAAAAGAAACACACAAAAGAAAACCTGATTCTTGCTGCTATAACCATCAGGTTTATCTGCCCTGCGTACGTGTGGCCCTCAATAAAGCTTGCTTAAAACAAATGTGTGTGTGTTATGTGAGGTCAAGGTACAGAGGCCGGCTATATATTAATGTGTGTATCCACGCTGGGGCCCAGCCGGGGGAAACACGCTCTCTTTGGAGGCTAATGTCCGTGTTCTTTTTTTCTTTTCGCCGCGTTCGGCCTCATCCTGGTTCAAAACATCTTCCTACGGCTTCCCTCACACGAGCCCCGACGACCACCCACGCAATGACCCTTCACCCCGACACTGAACACACAAACGCAGCCAAATGCTACACTAATGCATATAGACACCACTACGCAAACAACACACACATGCAGGGGCCTCCCCAGCTCGGACCCTCACATGATCACGTTGTTAATAACATGTCTGCCTCTGGATAAGTTTCTGCATCCGTACAGCGTAAATCGCATCCATCCAGTGTCTGACGCGAGAGGAAGCACAACGTTTGGGTGCGAACTCGGGTCTGTTGTTTGCGTTGCACTTATGTATTCAGTTAATCATTTAATTGACTTCAAAGAACCATATTCCTGTTCTTAAAGTTAACATACTTTTGTTAGTTTGAGAATAAGAATGTATGATTGTGATTTAGCTGAGCGAATATGGAGGCACATTTTATTTAAATGATTAATTAGCAAAGTGGTTAAGTCATTAATACATTTATTTATTCTTGTAAATTGGCGAGGTATAATTAGTTTTGATTCTTACCATTTTGGTAGCCTAATTTATTAAATTAGGTTTAATAATTACAACACATTATCCATGAATTCAAGTAGATCATAAGCATATTGAGGCTTACGTCTGACTTTTAGAGATAAACATCCCAGAAAAATGTTTTTCCATTCAACCATCATGCAGGCCTCCGGGTCTGCAGGGTTGACGGTATTTTTTACAATATTGGAAGAAGGAAAGCAGCTGACACGAGCAGCCATTACAAAGGGTAGTCAGTCAGCAATCGCTGAATACACTACGACACCAAGGTGTACACCTCTTAAAGTAAGTTAATGTCATGTTTTGAAGTGGAGGGATGGGGTGCAGGCATTTTATGATCACGCTGGACAGTCATTTCCATCAATTCAGAAGAAGAAACTGTTGTTCAAAAATCTTTGGATACAGCGGAGTATCTTTACTAATGAACTGCACAGGTACAAAAACAGGTTCTACAAAAAGACAGAAAAGCAACACGATTGAGGGGCAGTGACGTCAACAGTGTTTAGAAAAGCACATTGGATACCCAATCAACGCTGCATACTAAATACATCTGCCACAGAGCGATAAAACATTGAGTCACTTGGATACTGACAGATATGCTTCCATGTCTTTCAATAATTCAAGCTGAGCTGGACAGAGACTCTGATCTTCCTAAACCTTTCTAACTGACAGAAGCCCAACAACTTCCCTCATCATGATGAGTAAGCGTGAACAGAGAGGAACATATTTTGAGATGACATGATATTCAAGGAAAAAAGTCAACAAGAGCCGGAGTGAGATGTGCAACTTTGAAATCCTGTCGATATCGTACTGTTTAAAAAAAAAAAAAATGTATAGACACCGCTCTGCATTGTCCAACTTCCACGGACGAGCCGCAAAACCAAATCTCATGCTGAAGAAACACTCCAGACGCTGGTCCTGCGAAAGAGCCGCAGCAGGAAAGCAACCTGCTACTCTTCTTCTTCGTCAACATCATCTCGTCTGATGCTGCACCTTTCAAAAAGTCGCACACAGCCGTACAAGGTTACGCTTCGATCACAACGCGTACCTGCGGCAGGGCGGAGAATATTCATTTGTTCTCGGCCGTAAGTTGTTTTTAAGAACGGACCTCAAGGGGTTTTGGGGCCAGACGGAGGGGGGGCCTCCTGCAGCTCCAACTGCTCAGACGGTGCAGAGTTAGAACTGAAGGCGCTCTCGTCCCTCTTCTCCCCCGACAAGAAATCGTGAATTGCTGTTTCTATGTGCGGCCGAAAAGTGTGATTCATCTTGGGGTCGACGACCTGAGTGATGATCCTGTCCACGCCCGACTCCAACATACCCGACCTGGAGAAAACAAATAGGAGTTACAGGAGTACTGTTAATCAATTAGCATTAATTTTAAAAAAAAGAAGGTCTTAACAGTTAGGGATGGTCACCATTAAGGAATGGAATATAGTCTCAACACTTGTACCTTATGCAGGACGAAACAAAAAAAGCGGTGTGACCTCATCTCTGGATGGAGCTGCCACGAAATCATTATAAGATGATACTGTGATCGACCCGCTGATCCCTCCGAGGAGGACAAGGAAAGGGAACACTCACTGAACAACACTTTGCCTCAGCCCGTTCCTCATCTGGTTCTTGTTGATGGACGGGTTCCAGTCCTGCGTGCTCAGGTGCGACGTCACGTAGTTGTCGACTTTCTGTCGCAGGTTCTGATAGGCGGGCTGGCAGCAGAGAACACACGCGGAGTACGGGAGTTAACGGCACGTTAACAAACGTGAGCGCATCGCGGCGTTGTGGTTAGCCGGCTGACTCACCTTCGTATCAACGTCAGCGAGACAATCCCGGCGAAACTCGTCGAAAAGCCCGTGGTTCTTCAGATGCTCCACGATCATACCGATTAACTGCGGGTCTCCCGGTGGAAGGTCGCCCGGACTGACGTTAACGTTACCGCTACCCTCCGCCATGGCGAGCCGAAGTACCGCTAAAGGGGTTGATAAATGACCTGCTAGCTAGCTAACGTTAGCTAGCTGAGCTTGTTGTCGAACAAGACGTGACACAGGAAGCTGCGAGCGGAGTGACTCTGTTGGAGGGGAGGGGGGGGGGGGGTAGAAGCTGCACGACAAATCGAGCGCTTCTTTTTCAGGTGTCGCGCATGCGCACTGCAAACCTGACACCGGAAGTACTTCATGTAAGGGTCGGGTGGAAGGGTAACGTTAAACGTTTGCGCCTAAAACTAAAGGTAATATTCATTAAATAAGCTGCCTGAATTCTCAAAAACAGATCGTTTCTGTGGTTGGGTTTCGAGACGCAGGACATTAGTTTCGTTAACCTTTGCACCTACCATATTTTAGACTGGACTAACGCTATTTTCGTCAGAGGTAACGTCAATAGCGTTGACCAACGTTAGCTGTGTTGGCTAACACCAAATGATTTACCGCTCAACCTTCTTAATACTGTCAAGCCCATAACTTTTAATGTTGCCAAATGGTCATCATCCTAATGTGAACCGAGCATCGGCAGCGGTGTCAACACGGGCAGCACATTTGTCTTAATTGGCTTAGTACCACCAATTACTGATCAGATCATCAATCAAACCACAGTGTAACGTTAATGGATTAAATAAAGCATACTGACATAGTTTCACCATGAGCTAACGATATTTGTTGAAATGTTATATTTGGCTAAACGGAGTCGTTCATTTTTTGTTACAGCAAATCCCGACAGTGACAATTGCGTCGTGCTTTGATATTATTGTGTAGCCATGTAAACATTTGAACTAAATCTATGAGCAGAGGGAAACGACACACGTTGAGCTTCTTTGCTGTCTTTTCTCACTTCAGTTGGATAGTAACCAAAACATCCTTCCTATTACCACATTAAAGCAAAAGGGTTACATCTTAAAATACTAGGAAATGTAACACCAAGATATGAAATGAATACTACTTCCTTGTTGCCAAGTTGGGGGTTTATAAAGTTGCCATATACACGTTCTCTTTGCAGATGAGCGGGCAATCGAATGCCAACAAAGAGTTCATGGAGCAGCTGCGGATGCAGGAACTCTATGATCGGAGAACTGATGGTGGCTCTGACCCAAACACCTTCACCGACCCAGAGGACGGAACCGTGTATGACTGGGACCCCGAAAAGAAGGCCTGGTTCCCTAAAGTATGAACTTTTCTTTTCCTACCTCATACATTTGTTCTTTGAAGGCTCTCAGTCCCTGAGCTTCAGATGTTAATTTTAAGAACGTTTGCTTTGTTCCTCTAGATAACAGAGGACTTCATTGCAGCCTACCAGGCCAACTACGGCTTCACTCAGGATGGAGATCCAGATTCCAACCAAGCTGCAGTGAGCAGCTCCAACCCAGCAGCCCCAGAACCACAAAGCAAACCTTCCGAAAAGGCCAAACCAGGAGATTCCTCCAAGAAACAGAAGCTAGACAAGCAGGAAGAAGGAACACAGAAAGGGGAGAAGAGAAAACCAGATCCAGGTAAAGTGACACCCAAAACCATAGAGAAGAGAGAAAAGCAGGGGATTAACGAACACACGGATGGTAAATGATGGGCTTCTTTTTAAAGAGCTACAGTCATTGATTTATGTTTCCACTTTTACACCTGTCTGCAATTGTGATTTTTACCAGGATACATTTTTATGCACAATTTCTGAGATTAAGTGGGAACAAATCTTTTGATAAATGCCTTTTCCCTCCTTTCTCATGCTTTATAGGATGGTTCGATATAGAAGACAATAAAAACACGAACGTCTACGTATCAGGTTGGTATTTCTAAGATTTCTTTTCTCATTGTCAAGAAGACATCTTTCCAGCGACTAGTTGACTCTGTTCATCCTTCCTCGCTCTCCCTCATTTTTCCTCCTCCTTCCTCCTCAGGCCTGCCTCTTGACATCACTCCTGATGAGTTTGCCGAGTTGATGTCCAAGTGCGGCATTGTGATGCGGGACCCCATTACTGAAGAGTACAAGGTCAAACTCTACAAGGATAGAGAGGGAAATCTAAAGGGAGATGGTCTCTGCTGTTATCTCAAGGTCTGTCTCTCCTTGTTTGCCTAAAGCTTCCTTTATAGTTACCACAGATGTGTGACAACAAGGTTCTGCATGGGTTTTGGCTTGTGACATTGTAATGGAAGAAGTATTAATTGCTGTAGTATTGCGTTACTCTACAGTAGAGTGAAAACGTGTTTGTGTGCGTGTTTGTGATTCTCTGCAGAAGGAGTCAGTGGAGTTGGCTCTGCGTCTGATTGATGAGTCAGAGGTCAGAGGGTACAGACTCCACGTGGAAGCAGCACGGTTCGAGCTAAAGGGCCAGTACGACGCCAGCAAGAAGAAGAAGAAGAACAAAGAGTATAGGAAAAAAATGCAGCAGCAACAGAAGTACATTCTACCTCCCTGTTCCGTTTGATTTAACCTCCCATTAGTGCCACTCTGCACACGGGGAGGACCAGCCAACATGCTCAAATGGACCAACAGAAGACGGGTAATTGAGAATTTTCTCTTCTGCTTCTTTGTTCCGTGCAGACAGTTGGATTGGAGGCCGGAGAAGCAGGGAGAATTGAGGAAGAGGCATGAAAAAGTTGTCATCATTAGGAACATGTTCCACCCCAGTGACTTTGAGGTGCGGAGAGATCTACACATTCACATACATGCTTACACACACACACACACACACACACACACACACACACACACGCGCTGTCCATTCGGGTAATAATCTCTGCTCTCTCGGTTTTGGCCTTTGTAGGAAGACCCACTGGAGTTGAACGAGTACCGTGATGATCTGCGAACAGAGTGCGAGAAGTTTGGCGGCGTCAAGAAGGTCATCCTCTTCGATGTGAGTTTAATGTCAATCATAGTCAAGAGTGGAATGGTTTGTATCATACAGTATATGTTAATATGGAGCTGCTGTTCGTGTGCTGTAGAGACACCCGGACGGCGTGGCATCGGTCGCCTTTAAGGAGCCCGAACAAGCCGACGCGTGCGTGGAGTCGTTCAATGGTCGCTGGTTTGGAGGAAGGCAGCTGAGTGCTCTGCTTTGGGATGGAACAACGGACTATCAGGTACACCAAATGCAAGATACAAATGCAAATTTAGCAAGAAAGACGGATAATATATATATGTCATGGAATTTCGTGATGGAAATTTTACTGATGCATCACTTCCAAGGCTTATGAAGGTAGTCCTCATTCCTACCAAAGAGTCCTGTGATATTACTAACATATAGTTCACTCACTTAAACTCTGCATCTGGAAAGAATTTGCTGCATTAATGGTGCTACTGTTTGTGCAGGTGGAAGAGACCACACGAGAGCGCGAGGAGCGACTGAAGGGTTGGTCTACTTTCCTGGAGGGAGGCGATAAGGGACCGCAGAACAATACTGAGAAGCCAGCAGAGGGCAACAGCGCCAAAACAGAACCCACAGAACCGTCCAGCACCACAGAGCCCGAACAGCATCCCAAAAAAGAACCACAGAAACGGGAAGAGGAAGCAGACTCTACAGATAGCAGCCTTGAAGGAAGTGATGATGAGAAAGCCTAGGTCCTTATATACACACACACCTTTGGTCGCCATGGCAACCAATCAGGACAGTTGCAGTAGAGTGTGAACTGTGGTAAACACCCGTTCTGACTGGGTAAGGAGGAGGTGGTATTGGGGCAGTTTGAGCTGTTTTGTAATGTAGAAAAATAAAATTGTGATTTTGGCTACCCTATTCAAACTATTTTGGTTTACACCGGAAGTACACCTGCACCACAAGTACAGCTTTCCCTATATTTCAGTGGGCCAGTTTGTTTGCAGGTTTGTAAGGATGACCATGATGATGATAACCAGACTGCACAGATATCAAAGGGACACTTTGAGTAGAATCTGTTTTATATAGTTTGATGGTATAGTTTGTCATATAAACCCACCAAACCTCATAGAAAGTACATGTATCGTAGTAAAATGTTTAAATCGCTTAACAACAAACTTCAAAGTACTAATATTATGATTATTTATAAATCAATTTTTTGACTAAATATATTTTGACTTTCTTTTTTGTGCAACTCCCTGCCGGCGATTCTGTATGAGCGTCGGCCCTCCCCCCGGCCCCCCACTAGAGAGCACTGTTGCCCTGCTGTTGCCGCGGATGGTTGGGGAACTTTGCTTTAATATGAAGTAGATAGAGTGGTCAAATTAGCCCGATAGGACTTGCTTTTTAAAGTTAGTTTTTATGGATAAAATAATTTCAGTTTCAAACTATGTACATTTAATGTGTTTAAATAATATTTGACGGTAATGTTTTTTCTCAGTAGCTTTAGTACTTAAAATTGTAAAGCAACTTGAAAACTTGAAAAAAATGTGTCGTTACCACATTAGATTTAGACCTCAGATTTAGCCAAAGTCGATGCACCCTGAACGAGAACCTTGGAGTTGGACTTTACTTTAGTTTTTTACTTTATATGCCACTTTATACTTTATCTCCACTGTTAGTATTTAATTCAGAGATGATCTCTACAAAACATTATGAAATACAAAATCGTGTATTATCATGCACAAGCAGTCATGATGTAATATTTCCTAGCTGTAACATTTAAGTGGTGCTTACACGTTAATGCATCTTATAAGCCATTATATACAATATACACACTATGATTCTGACATGCCAAAGCTCATTTAGACTTGAAAAAAAAGATCTTCCTCTATCAGTTTTTGCGGCCATATCAAAGCAATTTGTGCCAATATAAATTTAAAAATATTGTTCAGAAAGCTGTTGTTCCTTTGTAAATAACTTTTTCGGCAGGGGTTTGTAAAGTACACACCAGAGATGTTGTTATAATCAACAATCTCCTTCAGTGTTATTCACTAACAAGTTCTAGTGATCCATCAACCTTGTAGGTGCATTTGTACTTGTTCTAACTAACTAACTACTTCCTGGTCTCAACACCGAGATCCCTGATCCTAGTTGGACAAACATGGAGACCTAATGCCTAAAAACACTCACAAAGCATGTCATTTAAGAATGGTGCACAAGTTCTGCCAGGCCTCAAACACAATAATTGATTTCGAACACTGTGTTCCCTGTTTGCAATAAACTGACTGCAGCACAGTTTGACAGCAATGCAACAATATTATATGAGTCAACAAGAAGGCGCAGACAGAGAAAGATATGGAGCAGAAGCAGAGACGGAGGAGGAAATGGACAGAGCATGTGAAAGCAGGCTCTGTGTGTGTGTGTGTGTGTGTGTGTGTGCTGTTCCCTGGAGTCCGCCCTGGAGATCGCTTGGGAAAAAGACCTCTAGGTCTGTCTGAGGTCTGACATGCAGCCAAGAAAAGCAAGACTAAAATAGTGAGAGGGAGAGAGATGGAAGATTGAATGGGGAGGGGGGATCGGAAAGAGAGCCGAAGAGATGGAGAAAGACTGTGGACGAAGCTCTGTGTCCGTGGTGAAAATGTATGGAAAATAAAAACATTAACATGGTGTCACACACAAACACCCACTCACACACACACACACGCACACTGCTGATTGGAACCACATGCTGAAAGACAGACAGAATAATGGGAAGTTGTGAATTGTTTGATTTGTTTTCCCTCTTTGTTGCGTTGGAGAGTGGATGCAGAGTGGTGGAAGGCTTCCATGACCAAAGATGTCGATCAGCCATGGGAAATTCCAGCCAGTAGATGTGTCCAATGCGCTGCGTGGGCATCGGGTCTTGCTCCATTACCAGTGTGCATGGAGGGAGGAGGGCTTCTCAGTGTGTGAACCAGGAACCTGAGCAATGAAGTGGCCACAAAGTAGTGTACTCTCCTTCACACACACACACACACGAGCAAGTTGCTCAAATAATCCTTTTATTTTACTTTCCATATTGAATCTTGGATCAGTTTTTTTTTTACCTGCAAAGACCAGATGAAGGCAAACACCTGTACTCGACAGCATACATACATATATACGCATAAAGTGATACGGCGGAGGAAGGACGTTTTCGCCCAGTTACACTTGCTTCTAATAACCGAAAAATAAAAAAGAGCGGAAGCAAGTGAATGGGAGACAGAGAGAGGGAGGAATGAAAAAAAAAAAGTTGATTTGCTGCAGATGCTCCGCTTCTCTGGGATAATTACATAAGATTGATTCTTTATGGAAAGGGGAGTGTTGTTTTATTGGTGTGTGAGTTACTTAAAAGGCCTGTGTGTGCCTGTTTAAAATACAATTGAACCAGCTGAAGATTCCAGCAGCAGCTGAATTGTTACAGAAGTGAGAACACCATCACAAGTTGGATTGAATCTTAGGGAGAATGAACAGATGACAGAACACTTCTACACCTTTACCAGTAATTGTTTTCCACAATATGCTTGAGCAAGGGAGTCTCTTCATTTGCCAATTGTTAATACATTTATTTGAATCATACTTTAATTGTCTGTGTTTTTTTTCCATTTAAACATGTTTAGTGAGTCATTGCAAGGGATCATTTTTAATCAAGAACCTGAAGCCGCGACTGGACTTCTGGAACTGCGACGGATTGTGTTTTGACCACTTGGGGTCAGCAGAAGCACCATAACACTTGAAAGGTTCGTTAGCTAACATAAAACACATTTTACCAATACTCTGTACATAGATGGATAAATGCAAACAATCCCATAATCAAGGACACAGAAAATGAAAAAAAAAAAAAGAAAAGAAAAAAAGAGCAAAACCCTCAACGGATGGTTTCCATTCATTTCAGCACGACAACAGCCGTGTGAATGTTCAGAGTTCTGACCACATCTCGCTCGCTCCTTTGTTATGTTCTTCCTTGTCCCACGGGATGTGTGGTGCTGTGTCCTGTGTGTCTGATGATGTCCCCCCTTTTCACACGGAAACCATGACTGTAACACACACACACACGCACACACACACACACACGCACGCACGCACGCACGCACACACACACACACACACACACACACACACACACACACACACACACACACACACACACACACACAGACTTGTTTTTATTGCTTAGGAGGACATTGTATATTATGTCTCCCCAGGAGACATCCTCCAACCCAAACCACGGTCTTCACCCTAAAATGTAACGGTTTTCTTTACCTTGTGGGAAACATCGGCCCAAATGGGAAGCGGGTCCCTGTAATATAACGTAGACACATAACGTATAGATGTTGGACACATTCTCACATGGCTCACTGGGACAAGACAGCCGAACCAGTCAAAGTATCCTTTTCATCCACGAGTTCTCTTAACAATATGCAGCAATAATTTACAAAATAACTATTCCACAAATGAAATGTGTTAACTTTAATCAGTATTTTTCTCATTAAGTCAATAAACAACCAGAGAACCATCCAATAGCTGTAACAGCTTGCATTTGGACAGTTGAACGCCACAAAGTGTTTCTGTTTCTCCTTTGTGTTGGAATCATAACTCTGACTCTCATTATCTCCCCGCTGCTTCAACACTACGCCTCAGGCCCTCACTTGTTATTTTAAATCTTTTCTAATTGTAAGATTTTGGCTTGGTTCCCTTCCTTCACTTTATGAAATCCAGTTCATGGAATTAATGTGCTGTGTGTCCTGTGTGTGTGTGTGTGTGTGTGTGTGTGAGTGTGTGGGGGTGCGTGGTGAGTGTGTGGGGGTGCGTGGTGTGTTTTATTGTCTGGTGATATCAATGTATTCAGGGCTCGCTTGTGTAAATAGAGTGAAGTCACATGCAGGGATCGTTTCCACTTTCCTTTTCATGAATAATATTATTGTAAACTATCTGTGACCTAACCTTTTCTGCTATAACTTTCCTGCTGAATAAAAACACATGTGGCTGATTTGGGGAAGGCTGGCTGCTGCCCGAGCGCTGGCTTTCTGATTGATGACATCATGGCTCCCCGGTGTGAAAGTGGCAGATAAGAGTAACTCCGGGTGCCCATAAAGTTTTAGGTTGTGCTGTATTTTTGCTTCCAGCCATGATAACAATGCCAATGTGTTTTCCCCAGAGGATTTTAGCTTTTCATAAATAATAATTACAGGTTTGTTTGAGGCATTTATGCATTTATATTCCACTGGGGATTGCTTCTGCCAAGTCATTCTTTAATTTTAAATACTTGTTTGAGTGCTTCAGTGAATTAGGAGGGAGTTGTGTGTTTGGATGGTGAGTATGTGAGATGATATGTGGACAAAAAGGATGCCTTGTCTTTAAAAAGCACAGAACATGCAGGGAAATGGGGGATCAAGACAAAGCGAGACTGGATGTGCGTGAAGTGACGGTGGTCTAGTCTGAGGGGCCTGATTTCAAGGTCGGACAGGAAATGCCTGCGCAGATGGTGGACACTGAGAACAGTATACAGGAAACAGCCCACTCTGCAGCTGTGTGTGTGTGTGTGTGTGCCTGGGATTAGGAGCAGCAGTTTGCTGCTATGTATTATACATTTCAGAAGAGGCAACAGATGAAGCAGTTACAGTCAACAGTCAACTGTGTGCACCACTACCACTACAAGAAATGTCAGGTATCAGCTTCCTTTCAATTCCTTTCCCTTCAATTCTGATTGTAGTGCTCCCACTTCTTATATATGGCAGATTGTGTTGTTTAGCAAAAGCAAACCTAAAGAGGATTTTTGAAAAACAAAGTTAATAATCTGTGGCAAGTGAATAAAAAGTGGCATTTAGTTACAAAAAGCGCACTAAACACCGGCAAGAATGGAACCCAGGGAATGTACAAAACTAACACAAAAAAGCACA